TCCATAGCCAATGGTATCATTTCAAAGCGCCCCTCGATTATATAAGCTCATGCGGCTCTTTCCCCTTTTTTCACCTGCAACAAAAGACTTCCAGTGTTGACGCAGCAACATGAAAGAAGATGCAGACGAAACGAGGACGGAGTAGTTTGAACTGGGCCGCATGTCGTACTCCGCCCTTGCAGCGTTGATCTTGAGTCTCGTAAGCTCGGAGATCAACCCTTTTGAATACGGCCAGTCTGTTATATCACCCTTGTGAGAGGTATCTTCGTTCATGGAGCTGGGGAAAGGACGCAAAAACAGTCCCACCGCCGAGGAACAGGAATAGCAACAGATCCGATTTTTTGCTCCATTGATTGGTGCTTGGTTGTCTGTTTTGGGCAGTTGGTAACAGCTATCCCGCTCTTCTGCCTGTTGTGTGGAGCCGTGACAGCGGGACAGGCAGAAGACGAAGAGCCGCAAGCTAGGCAAGCCCCTGAGAGACGGATCAGCAGCGTTGGCAGGTCCCTACCTCAGAATGCACGAATCTTGCTAAGACGGGGCAGACAAGCTCTTAGTCAGAAAGGTAGCAGACGATCAGGATGATCATGCCATTGACAGAGAATCGACCATTGTACTCCGTATTCTCTGGAGCTTCTTGGTGTTGGCCAGCAGTGTACCGAGAACACAACAAAGTACGGAGTACTATACTCTTACCAGGCCAAAACTCCTGGAACTAGGTTGGCCACCCGTCCTCCGCTTTTCAGTGAGACCAAGTTTTGCCTTGTCATCTCAGCCTCATGCTGCAAGGGGCAGAAGTGGAACTGTCACTGGGCTGGCTTTTATGCCACTCCAAGAATACGATCAGAGGCTGAATATCACAGCCTTTGGTTGGAGGAGACCAGCTTCGCACATGGAGATCGCTCGCTTTCTCAAAGGAGGCTGTCCAATTAAGACATCAACATCTGACATCTAGTGGACTTGTTTCTCTGACCGCAGAGAAAATATGTAGTGGAAGCTGCATTGGCGTCTCCACAATAACTAGTTACCACGTCGAGCTAACAGCGTGTTGGACGGCTGACGGGAATACACCTATTATTTAACTGGCCCTCTGGTCGCATTTTTTTTCCCTCATTCCCTCCTCAAGCTCTTTGACATTTTCTCCCGTTAACCAAATAATAGTCCATTCCTTCTCGAGCTCACCGTCATTCTTTACTCTTTCCCAAGTTTATCATCCAGTCTTTTGGTGTTTTCAGGTTTAATAATTATTGCACGATACCCCTTATAATTCTTCTTTATCTATCTGAATCTCTTTAATATTCAAAATGGATCCCAACTCTCAGCACAACACCGATCCAAACATGAAGTCTGGATTCGCGGTGGACTCGTCTTCCGGCGTGCCAACGAACAAATGGGGCTCTCCCTTCTATGAGTTCTGGGATCCTGTTGATACTAGTAAGATGAAAAATGAAACCAGCCGATAAGTGACAACAGTTTTGCTGATCTGAACCTGACAGTGCTCTGCTCCTGGTGCTGCCCATGCTTTATGTTTGGCCGTAACCAGCACCGACGACGCGACCCAGCTATGTCTGGTTTCAGCTACTTCAACGGCGACGTAAGATATAAAGTCCTGCTCTTCTCAATAAGTTGTACTGACTGGGAGTCTCTAGTGCTGTCTTTGGCTTTGCCTTGCATACTGTGGATGCTTTGGTATTTTCCAGGGCCTCAAGCGTATTGAAACCCGAAAGCAATACGGAATCGAAGGCAATGAAGTTCTCGACTTTGCTGGATCCTGCTGTCTTCCATGTTGCATGCTCGTCCAGGAAGATAAGGAGATCACCCGCCGTACCGAGGCAGCTGGCTACCAACGAACCTCCCCAATGTCCTACCCTTAATAGGACAGTAGAAGCCCATGAAGCTCTATTATTCTTCATGAAACTACCTACTCGAAACATTATTGGGCTCGGATTCCGTAATATTGTCGACTTGCTCTATATCTTGAGTCGTATGACTTCTCTAAAAATGCACCTAACTAGTCTAATCCAATGTTTCGTTGTTCATGCTCTACAGTACATTTTTTTATCTATAGGGGGTTGTATTTTCCACTTCTTCTCACTACTTAATATATGAAGTATCGACCACAGCCAGACAAAGCCCCGAAAACCGTAGGACCTTGGGCTAGAGAATAGCATGTGCCACGTAAAAATAGTCCTATATCACCATCTATTATGTATCATCTATGCACTGCATTTTCACTTAAGATTGTCTCGCACATGCGTCGATGGCATAATCGGCTGTCAGTTGATAGGCTAATACCCCTCAACATCGAAACCCGGCACTCGGCAGCTACTTAACTATCTACCTAGTACTTACATCTACAGAGCTCGTCAACTTCTTCGACTTCTTGCTAAAGATACAGGTCATATAAGAAGAGACTAGCATTTATCATGGCACCCCCGACTATGACTGCAACTTCAGCCCCATCTACGGGCGATGCTACCATGTCGCTACGCAGCGCTCCAATCGACGGTGTGGCGAAGGATGAAGCTCCAGAGATGACCAAGCTCCGCGCTACATTTCCCAAACCACCTGTATTTGAAGACAAGGTCAAGGAGCGAGAGTACCTCAAAGGAAGGCTTGCACTCGCATTCCGCATCTTTGCAAAATACGGCTACGAAGAGGGTGTAGCAGGACACATCACGCTACGAGATCCGGTCGACCCTACGACATTCTGGGTCAATCCTTTTGGCGTGCCATTTGCCCATATCCGGGCCTCGGATCTCATCCAGGTCGATCATGAAGGTACTGTCATCGCGGGAGGGGAGATCCGCCGCCTAAATACTGCTGCGTACATGATTCACGCTGCCGTCCATGCCGCCAGACCAGATGTGCAGTGTGCAGCTCACAGTCACAGTATCTACGGCCGCACATTTTCCACCCTCGGAATCGAATTGGACATTACGACTCAGGACTCTTGCGCCTTCTACAAGGTATGTAGCGCGAGAAGGCGTTTCATAACTAGTAACTGCTTTACATATCCTGTCTATATGCATCAGGTACTGATACGCTATCAATAGGACCATGCCCTGTATGCACAGTTTAAAGGCATTGTTCTAGGCAAAGAGGAGGGGCTAAATATTGCTAAAGCCCTCGGAGGCAAGAAGGCAGCTATTCTGCAAAACCACGGTCTTTTGACTGTGGGTAGATATATCGAGGAGACCGTTTTCTGGTTCTATGCGTTGGAGAAATGTTGCTATAGCCAGCTCCTGGCCGATGCAGCCGCCAAGGGACGAGGCATCGAGACTGTAAAGATCCCGGATGAAGATGCCCAATACACCTACAAGCTGATCGGAACGCCATTCGCCGGGTATTTTAACGGACTCCAGCTGTACGAAGTCGTCGAGAGAGAGATGAACGGTGCTCACTTGCAGTAGTTAACTGGTTAGTTTTAGTTACCTTAGCAATAAAAACTAGTTAGCAGGCCTGCCAGCATGCTCTTGCACAACCACCAATCTCCATCGATCTCCAAGCCCAATCTCTTTAGCAGCGTCCTTCATGGTAACTAACCAATTCTTCGCTGCTTCACTGCCGATATCCTTCGTCCTTCTCCCTTCCGGCTTTATCTGGCTTATCTGGCTTATCGCGGCCTTATCGTGCTTATCGTACTCATCACGTGACCGGTTCCAGAAAATTTCAATGAAATAAAATAAAATAAAAAAAGCGACTTCACGATCAAAATTTCTTTCGCTATCAAAACTAACGCCAATGAAAATAATTTCATTCCTTCTTCTCTAGTTCAAGTCGATAAGAATATATTGCATTGTATATCTTCTTGCTCTACGCTCTGTTTTACTATTCTAATACCGAATCCCCCAATTCCTCAGACTATTCAGCAGTATGTCTGTCCGGTTCGGACAACTGCTCTCGCGCAATCTGCAGCGATGCGCAATACGGCTGCCAGTTACTTCGACTCTAGCGAAGCATTCTATTAGGAGACTTCCAATTGCACCTCTGTTGACCTCGAGAGCCTTTCATTCCTCACCTCAGTTTCGCGTTCCAGCTGGTACTGCGAACGCCGGCGTTGCAGTCGAAGATGCCGGAGAGGCAGAATTGATAACGGAATTCGCAGAGTTGGGAGAGAAAGGTGTGGTAGACCAGAGATTGATCAATGCTATTACCAAGGGGATGGGTTTGAAGACCATGACCGACGTTCAAGCGCAGACTATCAATGAGAGCATTCAGGGAATCGACATGTAACCCCCCTTTCAAACCCATATTTCCTACTCGCAGTTGTTTTTAAGAAATAGAACACTGAACTGACTCTTTTGTCCAGGATCGCGCAGGCAAAGACTGGAACGGGTAAAACAGTTGCTTTTCTTCTCCCAGTTATCCACAGAATTCTTCAAGATCCCACCCTTGGCAACCTGCGGAGAAATTTTGCATCAGCACAGGATATTCGGGCAGTGGTAATCTCTCCTACTCGTGAATTGGCAGAACAGATCGCTGTTGAAGCGCAAAAGATCACCCGTGGCTCTGGTCTTAAAGTACAAACTGCGGTAGGAGGAACAAGGAAACGAGAAGGATTGATGAGGCTCCAAAGGGAAGGCTGTCACATCTTGGTTGGAACTCCTGGCCGTCTGATGGATCTCTTCTCCGATCCTACTAGCGGAGTCGCTGCTCCAAAGCTGCAGGCCTTCGTCCTTGACGAAGCAGACAGACTTCTTGACATTGGTTTCGCTCCTGACATCGAACGCATTCAGTCTTTCTTCCCAAGTCGATCTCAGGTTGACCGACAAACCCTGATGTTTTCTGCCACCATTCCAAAGTCAGTCAAAGGTCTGGCTAGAAGCATGCTAAAGCCTGACTTCACATTCGTTAACACTGTTGGAGATGAGACTCCAACACACCTCAGGGTTCCTCAGAGAGCTGTCTTCCTCAGAGGCTTCGAGAACCAGCTTCCTGCTCTCTTCGAGATTGCTAAACGAGCTGTCCAGGCGCATGCTGCCAACCCAGATACCGCGATGCCTTTCAAAGCCGTAGTATACTACGGATCTACTGCCGAAGTCAGCGTTGCTCGTCGTGCCTTTACTGCCTTGTGCAGGGACTTGGAGAGCTTGTACACTGGCCGAGCTCCCCGTATTCAGACTATTGAAATGCACTCTCGCCTAACTCAGGCACAGAGAACATTCAATTCTGATTCTTTCCGCCGCGCTACCACTGGAATTCTCTTCTCGTCGGATGTCACAGCTCGTGGCATGGATTTTCCAAATGTCTCCCATGTGATTCAAATGGGTGTCCCAAATGATACAGATACATACATCCATCGTCTTGGACGCACTGCTCGGGCCGATAAAACCGGAGAAGGCTGGATTTTATTCCCCGACATAGAATTCGACGCCTTCGGAGAAAAACTCAGAAGCCTTCCTATCAAGGAGGATACTTCCATAGAGTCCGCAAGCGTAGACTTGACAAACCCAGCACAATTTAGCGAGTCAATCGCTTCTGTATACGACACCCTTTCGAAACAGTTTAGCCGAATATTTGACGATGACAAGCTAAAGGCGTACCGTGCCATGAATAACCAGATGTCCAAATATGATAAACGGGAATCTCGCCGCCTCCTTCACCAGCTTGCTACTTCTATTTGGGGCTACCCTGAACCACCATACCTACCGGAGCCTTCACCCTCCCGTGCTGGAGGCCGGTATAACCGTAGCCAGAGAGGTGGCAGCGGCGGTTATGGCGGATACTCCGACCGAAGGGGCGGATCGTCCTATGGTGGCCGTGGAGGGTTCAGAGGGGGTTCATATGGCTCTGGCCGAGATTACGGTCGCGATAGAGGATTTGACAGAGGATTCGACCGCCGTGGATCACAGGGCGACAGGCGCCGTACTAGTCTCTGGGAGTAATTAGTCTCCGTTACCTACACCAGGCAATAGGTTACCCCTAAGCCTAAAATTTCCACGCTCACAGCCTTTGTTGTCTTCCGGAAGGCTGTTGCCATCGAAATCCACCTTTCAACCATGAATTGCAACGTTTCAGCATTTTCCCGACACCTGGGCATATATATGGATAAGATAAGAAAGTTATAGGCGTTGAGGTTGACTGTCTGTTTCTCTGCTGTTTTACTACCACAAAATGGTGTTCCACGGTGTCCCTTGCAATGACGGAGTTGGCGCTCATTTTCAACCACGAAAGAAGAGGCACAGTTTTCTCTCCTCTTCATTTCCATTTCGTTTCAATGTATTTCTAGAACCCCTTCCGATATATACATGTTAATATTTTTGTGTTTATCACCCTGGTTGAGGCTACGATTGTTCGAGCTGGGCTGATGTTTCATCCTACTCTTGTTTTTTTCGCACTTATTTTTGATTACCTGCATGGCTTTATGTACAGTAGACAGGATGAAGGCTCAGACGAAATATTCCACTCAACGAGATATCTCAGATTAACAATTTGAACAAAATTACAGAAACTTATCATCAATTTGGTCTATGACTGCTTAAAAAAACACTGCCCAAATATGCGGTAAACTCGGAAACAAATGGCTAATAACAAAAAGAAATAAAAGTCATTACAGTTGGGAAATCAAGTCGTAAAATAAAAAGATCAAAGAACAGTGATTGAATCAATCAAGTTCCGAACCTGTGTAGGTTAATTGTCGCTGAGGCTCTGGCGTTGGCAAACCAGACTCATCAACCCCTGAGGCAGATGGAGACGCCACCATGAAGGCCTTTCGATCAGCCAGTATCCGTTCCTGACGTGAAAGCAAGTCTGAGTCCCTATGATACTGTCTTTCATTGGCAGCCTCCAGCTCTTTGATCCTCCTTGACTCGACGGCCATCTTAGCCTCTAGGAGGCTATGTTGGGTATTGGCCATGATTTTATCATTTTCAATCTGTAGTCGTCCTTGCCTCTCTGCAGCTTCCAGGCGAAGTTGGTTCATCATACGCAACTGCTCCTGATCAGCCAGTTGTTGTTGGGCGGCAAATCGCTGGCGTTGAGCAGCCGTTTCTGCTTCAAGGCGGAGCTGGAGTCTGTTGGATCTCTCGGCTGCTGCGTCACGTTCATCTGCAGTCTCACGATCGTGCAAGGCCCGAAGTTGATGCGTGCGAGCCATTATTTGGTGCTGCTGATCTGCAGCATCACGTTCACGCTGAAGAGATATCTGATGATCCTCTTCTTGTTCCTGCATACGCTGCAGACGGTTTTTGCGTCGTTTCTCTTCTGCAATCACTTCAGCGGGTGCTCCGACCATATCGGGTGGTTGGGGCCCTTCACACTTGTAGAAAACATCTTTGCATCCGTTGGCTTTTAATATTCGAAGGAGTTCTGGGGCATGCTCTGATGGGCTTTGTGCAAGGCATTTGGAAACATATGTAGATGGTGAATAAACATATCCGTCGCATGTGTAATGATTGAAATCATTGTTGATGAGCCGCCACATCTTGCTTGCAAGCAATGCGGTTGTCGTGCTTATACATGACGTCGGATTATCTATTGCGTGATAGATGAGTGGCTTCCCCTGGCTCTGGATGGCCAAATCAGCTTTGCCTGATATAAGAACGTCGATTGTCTGTCGGGTCTTGACCAGAGATGTCCCAGGTGACTCTGCCTTAAAACACAATTCGGCTAGAGCACAACGTCCATCATGAAGCATAGACGGGAAATTGGGGTTGTGTCCGTGGTCCAGAAGAAGTTGGACAGCACTAGACTGTAGCTCTCTTGACGCTTCATGAAGACTGCCGTCGTCAATCATAGCGCCGGCATCGATGAGACAACGCATAGTAGTTAGCTGGCCACGTTTACTAGCATTGACAAGAGGCGTGACGCCGTGCCTATCCATCACTGAAACGACTGCACCATGCTGAATGAGTTTTCGAATAACATCTGGAGACCTGTCGACGGATGCAACTAGCAATGGAGTCATCATGGAACTGGTAGACTGGAAATTAGGGTCGGCTGGATAGAGATGCTCCGTTAGTATACTTTCAGCAATCTTTAGAAGATAAACGAAACTTACCTCCATTCTTCAAAAGACATTCGAATACGTATGGGCTGATCAGCTGTTGTGGTTGTAGTAGTGCCCATAGTAGGAGAGAAACCTGCTCGAAGCCATGCTCTTCGTCGATCACATAGGGTATTAGGGCGTCTACATGAATTCCAGCTTCAAGTAGGCGGCCGAGCATCTTGTAACCCCGAGGCCACTTTCTCAAGCATTGGAATGTAATAGGTTCGCGAAGCTCATTTCCGTCCTTCGGAGACCATATATTGCCATTCATTGCTTGAATGTCCAAATCCGTCTTCGTGAAAATATCGAATAGTTCGACGGCAACATCCTCAGTCAAGTCGGAGCTAAATATACATAGAAAGCCAGTATTGATATTCTGGCTCGAGGTGCTAGACTTTAAGATCGCCTTTGTTAAATGAGGTTTTCCAACAGCTATAGAGGCCGTGATTGCACGTCCATCCTGGTAATCCACATTGGCATTATGTTGAAGAAATAGTTCCACGAAGCTGGAGGACTTTGGGTTGGAGTCGGAGGTTTCGATAGCAGCAATCAAGGCAAGGCTCAAAACTTCTCCTGAGGCTCCATTTTGGAGAAGCAGTTCCACAGTGGAGTATCCTTCTTCGGTTATCCAGTTGCTAGTATCTGTAGATATCAGCTTGCCAAAGGCGTAAGTGACACCCGCCCTGTCCGAAATGGCTTCCAAGAGAAGACCAAGAGTCAGGGTATCTTTAGCCATGGCTGCATGGACCAGGCTGTGGCTCCGGTTATAATGCACGGATGCGCCATGCTTGAGCAGTAGTTTGATTGCTTCGTGGCTGCAAGGCATCTCCTGAACAACTTCAAGAAGAGCTGAATCCATGAGCTCACCTTTGTAGCCTCCTTTGAGAACCCGTGAAACATATGACAAGCGGTCTGCACCTTTCAATGCCCAACATGCTTTGAATGCCTCTTCCAACGCTCCCTGACTAGCTTGTTGTTCCAATAGAAGCTTGAAGACATCAAATCGACGTCCCTTGATAGAGTTAATAATAGCGGCTCCTTGCTGGTAATTCACCGATGCACCATATTGAATTAACATTTTCAGGAAGGTTATGTCTCCTTTATTTACGAGAATGGCTTCGGCAAGGAGGTTATCGAGTGCCTCGGGGATTCGATTCTGGGAGGCATCCAGGAGAATTTTGGCCATCTCATTCCTCTTTTTGGTGTCGATTTTCAGCAGTCGCTCTAGGCCGAGGGTGACTGTCAAAGTTGTCGGAAATCTGGAAATTAGCAATGCCAGCTGTCTCTCATCGGAATTGTCAATGGCTCTCTGAATGACTGCTCCTCCATTATAATTGATATCTGCACCAAACGACAATAATAGCTCAATGAGACGGGGATCGGCAGGTGAGCTTTGCTGGGCGGTTACAAGACCGGCATCCAGGGCTTCACCGTTGGCTCCAGCAACCAGAAGTCTCTGGCACATCTTGTACCGAGCCGATGTATCTTGCGATGTAAGTGCAACGGAGAAGGAAGCATTAAGCGCATCGACGGAGGGTTGATGTTGTAGCAGAATCTTCAGCAATTCGGGGTCATTCATTCTGCATGCTTGTTTGAGAGGTTCGCCATTGTTAAAGTTGACATCTGCCTTCCCCTTTTCCAGAAACAAGTTGACAGCAACAATATCAAGCGAGTTCTCCTTGAGCAATGTAACCAACTCCTGATTGATCTGTGGTCCACTGGCTTCCTTGGAACCAAGAAGCAGATCTAAGATGGAGAAACGCAGTATTCGGTCCCGTAACGAGACTGCTGGAACGACAGCTCGTGACAGGGAAGAAGAGGAAGGCCTCCCCTGAAGTAACAGCTTTAGTACAACAACGTCTCCTATTTTGACGGCTTGTACGAGACAATTCCCATTCTGAGCATCGACGTTTGCGCCATGATTCACAAATAGCTCGATAAGCTGCTCTCTTTCAGCTGGGAATTCGCTCATAACAGCACCGATAAGGATTTTGTTGACTGCATCTCCCTTTGCACCAGCTGCCAGAAGATCTTGGGCAACAGTAAACTGTAGTCGTGGCTGTAAGGAAGGCAACAACCCGATGCAGTGACCGAGGGTTGCTTGGGACGGTTGTCCTTCCATTAATTTCCTGAAAATAGGAAGGGCTCCAGCCGAGATGGCCAATCGTAGCGCATGGCCTTCGTCGTAGTCAACGGATGCACCGTTCTGAATCAGCAGATCTATCAAGCTTCGTTCGTTCTTATGTACCGCATCTACGAGGCATTGGTGTAGCGGGCTTCCATGGGCACCGCATTTTGTGAAATGAGCAATAATAGCTATCTTTTTCGTGGGAGATAAGTTCGATTCCACCTCGGGGACCCTGGACAGTGCGGTAGAGGCAGAGTCAGGGTCAATGGCGCCCTTAAACAAGATATCGAGAAGGTGTAGGTTCCCTCCCTTTATGGCGGCGATGATGGCCTCGCAGGAATTGTATGTGACGTCCCCATTGTAAGAGACAATAAGAGAGACGGATCGTTTGTCGTTGGCCACAACGGCGCTCACTAGAGCTCTGGAAACACAGTCTCCATTTGCGCCAGCGCAAAGAAGTAACTCAAGCAGGGTATCTCGTTCTTCTGAACTGAGGTTGTTCGAATGATATGCAGCACCAGCTGCGCAGTCAAGCGAGATTCGAGAAGGAGGACGACTGGCGAGGACGAGGGCAGCGGAGATGTCTAGTCTTCCAGCCTGTACGGCGGTTTCCAGTATTTGATCTGTATCCGCGTTTGCTCCGTTGTGTATGAGACACATCACCAATCTCATAGACCCTATCGAAACGGCTACCGGAAGAGCCTCATCCAGACAGGAGCTGCTGAGTTTCTTTTCAGTTCCAGCCAGCATCTCAACGACGGCAACGTGCCCATTACCTACAGCCGTGACAAACTGTTGGTGACAGGAGTTGGGGTCCGCCCCATTCTGGAGCAACGCCTTGATACAATGCAAATCCAAGCTTGCAACCGCGAGGCCGAGAGCAGCGTCAAGACCCCATTGGTCAACGTGAGGAGACAGGATCTCTAGAAAGCTGGAGTTTCTCTTCTCTGTCGCGAGTCTCAGCAGGTCGGTCATGTCGAGGGCCACGGAGTTCTCCTGGGTCTTGAAAAAGCTCTTCTTCGCCTTGGTCTCTTTGAGCTGCGTAAGAAGGTACTCCAGCATGCCCAGCGAGGCGTCATCTCGGATCGCCGTGTCTATGGCCGAGTACAATTCCTCTCGCTTGAAGCTGCGTTTGCTCGGGGTCCGTCTGAATACATGGGATTTGGCTGAAAAGGCCTCCAGCCGCTTCTGCTTCGCCAGCGCTTCTGCAGCATCCTTATCCTGCTGGCTGAAGGACGAGACGGTGTCCTTGCGAGTGATTCGAGGGAACTTCATGTTCATGTAGACGCCCATACCAGCAGCCAGCTGCTCCAGCCGCATCCGTGAATGCATGCTATCGTTGGAGTCCTCCATGGCCGGCGGTATGTGTCTTGACTATGGGATCTAACAGCAGGTTAGCTCAAGCCCACGCTGGACAAGACAGAAGCAGGAAGAAGATGGCATACCGTCCTTGGACGTTGAGATGGAGTAGTAGATTAGAGAGCAGTGTATTATTATTATGGTATCAGCCGGTGTCTTCTATGTACGAAGAGTAGGAGGTGAAGAGACCTGCTCTGTGAGAAGCCGAAGAAGACGCTGGCAAAGCTGGAGGACGCCAGCAGCAGGACGGCCATGGCGGCAAGATCCGCAGTAAAAAGCAGTTTCTGGCAAGCTGGAGAACAGGCTGGTGAATGGCCGGCTGCCTCAATGGCTCTAAGCGCCGGGTGAATATACTACTATGAATAGCAGACGGCGTGTTGTTGCTGGCGTGTTGGACGGCTGGTTGGCGGATGCAGGGGCTTTGGCTAACCGCCGCTTGGCTGGCGAGATGAAACAGCAGGCCGATTGTATAATTGGACGGTATTTTTATTTGCAGCAGGAGTCTTTATACATTTTACAGTGGCTACAGAGAGACCAGCGAGTAGAAGTGTCGGATATCGTTTGATTGTATAAATCATCCCAGGCTGTTGCCCTGCCCTGTGCCCCTGATGGACTGTCTGTCTGTAGTTACTTCGCTTAAAGCCACCGGAAGCCCAAAGTAAGTATCCGTGTCGCAGAAGACGAAGATAAGATAACTATGTGCTTATGCAGGTAAATAGCTTGTTAGTTAGATAGTGATGCCCCTGGCCCCCTGAAGTAAACCCCGGACTTCCCTGTCTAAGCGTGTTGAAGCTCTTCAAGAACCAACAAGATATGCGCAGAATCCCAGTAAAAAAAGATAAAGAAATGAAAAAAAGGATAGATAAGTACACAAGAAAATCATGCAAAAGTATAGCATGCATAGGAGGAGGAGGGCAAAGGCGTGTTCCGTTTGGCTTGCTGTCTAGTTACGGTCAATCATGTGCGCTCTGGCCGGGCCAGTCCCGATCCATTTGACAGGGATGCCGCCGAGGGAACGCTCGATGTATTCGACGTATTTCTGTGCATTTGCGGGGAGGTCCTCCCATCTGGAGATGCCCATGGTCTTTGACTTCCATCCAGGCAGGGTCTCGTAGACAACCTCGACCTTCTCCAGGGCATCCGAGCTGGCAGGGAAGGACTCGAGCTCCTTGCCATCAATCTTGTAGGCGACGGCAACCTTGATCTCGTCAAAGTCGTCAAGGATGTCCAGCTTGGTCAGGTTGAGGGCGGTATAGTGATTGATTCTGGCGCTGTAGCGCAGCAGGACCATGTCCAGCCAGCCACAACGTCTCTTGCGGCCGGTAGTGACACCAAACTCGCGGCCGGCCACCTGTAGCTTCTCACCGATCTCGTTGAGCTGTTCGGTGGGGAAGGGTCCGGAGCCCACGCGGGTGCAGTAGGCTTTGACGACGCCGACGATAGACTTGATAGAGGTCGGGTTTAGACATATTCCCTGGATTGCTCCGCCGAGGCCGGTGCAGGAAGACGTCACGAAGGGGTAGGTGCCGTAGTCGATGTCGAGCATGAGCGCGTTGGCGCCCTCAACGAGTATGGAGGCAGACTTGTCCTCGAACTTCTTGAGCAGTGTCAATTGGTCGACCACATGCGGTTGCAGAAGACTCCGGTATTCCTGCTCCTATCGTTAGCCATGGAATTCTTCCAGACTGTAGAATGAACTATTGCTAATGAAGAATACCTTGAATTTGGCAATCTCCTCTTCGACGTTATAGTCCAGCTCGCCAAACCGTCTCCGGTAGCCGGCTTCGAGGCTCCTCAGCTTGGATTCCAGCACACCCTCGTCCAGGATGTCGCCGACCCTGACACCCCGCCGGGCGGCCTTGTCGCTGTAGCATGGCCCAATTCCCTTGCCTGTGGTCCCTACCTTTCGAGTACCGAGCCCGGCTTCTTCCAGCCCGTCGACGACAGCATGGAGATCGAAGCAGACCTGGGCCCGGTCGCTGATAAACACCCGCTCCCGGACGTTCTTCAGTCCCTTGCCGTCGAGCGAAGCGAGCTCCTTGAAGAAGCTGGGCAGGTGGACGACCGTCCCGGCGCCGATCAGGTTGACGCACGTCGGCGAGATGAGGCCGGAGGGCAGGATATGGAAGTCGTAGGTGATATCGTCATGCACGATCGTGTGTCCGGCATCTGTTCGTAGTTTTCAGCGTCCTGGTCAGCCGCGAGTCCAGCGAATATCTATCTAGCCGGGGCAAGGTGGGATGGCCACTCACTATGGCCGCCAGCAGAGCGGCAGCAGAGCTCCGCTGTTTGCGAGAGCAGATCCGTGATCTTGCCTTTGCCTGTAGATCCGCCGACTGTCAGCTTCTTCTTCTTCTTCTTCTTCTTCTTCTTCTTTTCTTGCAAGTCGCAGTTGAGTCACGGCAGCGATCTAGAGCCAGAGAGACGCACCTTCGTCCCCCCATTGGGACCCCAGCACGATCGTGACCATCTTGCAGCCGGAGCGGGCAGGCGAGGCAGCGCTTTGCGAGTCGTTCCAGAGACACAGCAGACCAGCAAGGCCGGGCAGGACGATGATAATTCAGGCGGGCCGGAGCAGCTTGAAGGACGCTGAGGTGACTCTTTTTTTTCTGGTGGGATGAAAAAGAAAAGAAGCAAAAAGGAAGTTTTGCGCTTTTTCGCCGACTTCCGGAGCCAAGCCGAGATCGAGGATACTCCCTGTGAAGGACGGCGGACGGCGGGCTGCGAGATGCAGGAGACGGCAGGGAAGCAGCCGGCTGTCTTTTTGCGTTTGATACTGGCAGACTCGACGGCGACCGGGGGGGTGATTCTACGTCTCTGGGCATGTTGGTGGCTGGCTGGCTGGGGGGAAGGGGGGGAGGTCGTTCAGGGGCTATTACAGACAGACATATAGACGTTTGATATGGACATGAGATGGACAGCGAGATGATGTTATGGACGTGGTATGGACAGTCAAGCTGATTCTAGAGCTGCGGTTGTAACTAACACCTGTGGTATCTTGAAGGCACCTCTGCCAAACGCCGGCTGGGAAGACGAAGATATGCATCAAAAAGAGCAAAAGACACGACATACTTGTACATGTAGACAGAAGAGGATCAGAGTACATGACAGTCAAAAGCTGGGGAAGAAGGGAAATAGCAACAGGAAGGGTGGGGGGAGTAGGAGAGATAATCAAACCACCGCCGTCATGGAGTAAAATGCAGTGTAGAAGAGAAACAAGGGGAAAAAAGATAAATGAAATAAAAGCCATGTCGATATTCTAGTTGACCGGCATCTTCATTCCGGGTTTCTGAAAAGCGCCTTGTGTACCGCCGTGGCCGCTGCGTAGCCATTCACGGGCTTTCCCAAGGTCCAGGATACACTCGCGGTGCCGCTCCCAGGCAACGTCCCAGTGCTGCCGGACCACAAAGTCCTCCTCGATGCCCCGGAGATACTCGCTGTAGCCGGTCTTGCCCTTGCCCGCCAGAAGGTCCTCTTCTGCATCCGCAGAGTCGCCGTTGCTGCCGTCTAGTTTGACCCGGCTGCTGTCTCCCACCGCTCGCATCCAGCCAGGAGCCATGGCCGTTTCCACCAGGTGCTGACGCTCGTTAAAGTGGGCTAGCATGGTGCGGTTGAAGTTGTTCCATTCGCGCATGTAAGCCTGCATCTGCACCATATAGATATCCCACGGTGTCTGCGGCAGAGACTGCTTCTCCATGGCTGTCCGAGGCATCGGTGGCGCCCCAATCATTGCAGGTGGTGTTGGTGCCTTAGGCGGCTTTGGCAACGACAGATCCCGGGGGTGGATGGGCCGCTGTGATGGCTTCTCACTGCTCGCCGCTTTGGATTCAAACGGGAGTGACGAGTTAAGGTCCTTCAGGTCAGCGATACCCTTCGAGTTGCTGGCCGTAAAGGGGTTGACCAAACCAAGCTTTGCCAAATTGAACAGCTCAGGCTTCCCGCCAGGTTTATTGGACGGCATAAACGCTGGACCCATGGAGAACTTTGGCTTGTTGTTAGTAGTATTGTTGCCGGCCTGGGCGTTCGCTACATTGACGGTGGGCAACTCCTCATCCACGTCCATCTCATCAGCCATATCCATGGACTCGCGCTTAGTGCTTTTCTTCCCAAAAATCTGATGAGGCGAAAACGTCGCCTCTTCTTCCTCTGCCTCCGAGCTTATCCTGACTGGCTTTGGTTCGGTGGCAGGTTTCTTAGAGTCCGTTTGATTCTTCTGGCCGCCGAAGAACATGTCTTGAGCGGTGGGTATGGTCCAGGTCTTCTCGTTCAAACTGTCAGGCAGCTGCTCAGCTGTGAACGTGGTGGTCTTGAATAGCGGCGGTCGGGCGTCTGGCTTGGTGTCCTTGAAGTCAAAAGGATTGTTGGTGGACTTCTGTGGTGACTCGTTGGATTGAGACGTTGTAGGGCGGGAACGAGACCGCGGCCTGCTACCAAATTTATTCTGTGTTCCTCCCAAAGAGTCGCCTTGTGTTGGTGCAAAGAACTGCGCATTGTTAGAAAAGGCAAAGTTCCACTCGGATGGCGAAAATCCAGAGTTGAAGCTTTCATAGCTTTTGCTCTTTGACTTGGCGTGTCTGGCAAGGCCTTCATTTTGAGCATTTGGATTGCTACTGTCCGGTTGGTCAAAACTGTGTATGGTTGTAGAACAGTTAGCTTCGGCTCTCAACGGAGTGCTGGAAGGAAATTCCCGATATTCAGAAAATGTTTTTCGCGGTGTCCGTCCTGCATCGTCAGTGTTGAAGGCGGCGGCACCTCCCACCTCATCTTCATTCTCAGTTTCGCCGTCTTCTTCCTCCATTTCCTTTGACATTTGGGGAGTAGTGAACGAGGCAGGGAGTATGTTGGCAGGGTAAGCCCACAGAGGTGGGACATGGGAATTAGCTGAAACGCCAGGTTTCGGGGAGAATCCCCATATCTCTGACCAATTTCGAGCTGAGGGCTTGGGGGTAGGTGTAGTATTTTTGGGTGTGGTTTTGGGTGTGGATGTGGGTGTGGGTGTAGATATGGGAATAAAGTCATACATAGTTGCAGCACTTGGCCTCTGTTCCTCCGTTGAGGTCGCTCTGAAAGAGCTCACATTAGGCATAGGGGGGATAGTGCGGCCCATCGAGGACTCGCGGCGGGTTTCTGATGGAAAGGGTGCGTTGTTGCCGAATGTACTCGGGCCATACCCTTCGTGTTGATCGTCAGCATGCCAGTTCCATTTGTTAGAGCTCGAAGGCGGTTGGCTTGGGGAGCCGTTAATCTCAGTAAAGAGCCATGAGTTAGGCCCCATTGCCCAGCCGAATGGGCTCTCACCAGTTGCTGAAGGCTTGTTATTGGCTTTCCATGCAGAGCCGTTGTGTGCTCGCCTGCTTCGTGGCACTGCCTTGGGCCGGGGATTCAAGATCACTTCGTCGGTATCGTCGGTTTCACTAGAGGTTGTGGAAGAAGCTGAAGATGCGGAAAAGGTCGACTTTCTATTAGGTTTCAATTTTGGGCTGGCACTATGCCGTCTGTTCGAATTTGTAGCAGAGTTAATCGGACTCGGCGGGTTCGTCTGGGGTCGGGAAGCGGTCTCTTCACGGACACTAGAAGAACGGTTAATACCAGCCTTCGGAACATATGTCTTTTCTCCACCAGATGTGGCATATTTGCTACTAGTTCTATGGAGGTTAGGTGTTGGCGGGTCAGACAAGTCATCATATGGCTGCGGTTTCTTCGCAGTTGGCGACGGAGCCGTTGAGAAAAAGTAGGACATAGGATCCGAGTCTCGATTCCTTTCACCCCGGAGATTGTAGTACGAAGTTGCACACTTTGCCATGGGCTCATCTCCTCCAGCCGTCCTTGGTGCAAAACCGTTCTTTGCTTTCGTTGATTTGGATCTCTCGGGAGTAGGGGGCTCTGCCGCCTTCCGTGCTTCCTCCGCGAAAGCATGGTACGCCGACTGCCCCTTTTGGTGTGATGCACGCGGTTTGGAAGCTGGTTTCTCCTGGGCACGTCCAGTTCGGGGGTCAAAGCTAGTCCATCCACCAGGCATCTGAGGCTGGGGTTGTTTATTCTTCATATCCTGGAAGCCCTGGAAGGCCTCCGCCCTGGCGCGAGACTCTTCATACACCTTATCAAACTTCTGCGCGCCTGCCTTCGCGTAACTTGCGTATCTTTGTGCCCCAGAAGACGGCGGCGGCGGCGGGTATGCCCCTGGGTATGCGTTGGCCGACTTTCCATACTGATGGGAACTATAGCTGGGTTGCGATTTTCTAAAGGGGTTCGAGGCCGCTTGCGGAGGAGCCTGGCGCGTTGGAGTTGCCGTCCTAGAGGGCCCATATAGTTTGCCATAGCCAGCTCTCAACCGACCCGTATCATACTTCAATCGCAGCTGGGGGTCGACCAATATCTCGTGTGCAGCCTGGATAGCTTGGAACTTCGAGTTATACTCTGCTTCCTTCCCTGGGTTTCGATCCGGATGGTACTTTAGAGCTGCATATAAGAACCGCAAATTCACGTTAACTTATTAGCCTCCCTGTTGCACAAGGATAAATCAAGGGGGAACTTGTCTGTTGTAGAGGGTTCTTCTCACCGAGTTTCCGGAACTGCTTCTTGATCTCTTCCTGGTCTGCATTGGGGCCGACTCCCAGGTCAGCATAGTAATCTCTCGACACGTCCGGCTTCACCATTGCTGTGGCTCGCTGGCAACCAACGGCCACCAGGCTGGGGGCTGGTTTCCGATATCGACGATGGAAGCGGTTAAAACGATAGAGAAAAAAAAATATATTACTCGAAAGGTAATGATATCATCTTGTGTCTGCCTGCCGGCGCCCTTAGAGCAGGTTCTCCCGTGGCTTTGTTGCGTCTCCTGCGTATCCGGGCTATCTTTGGGTCGGTTGTCAGTGGTTACGAGCCGCCCTCTTCCACGCAGGCACAGAACTTGACGTTTTGGCCCGAGCAAGCGAAGAACGACGACCGCAGCCCGTCCTTTTTTAAAGAGCCGCTGCGATGCTTAAGCAGACACTTGTCAGCGCTCCCCGGTCGAAAAGTCTTGGTGGACGCCGTCTGATTGGGGGGGTGTTGGGTACCAGTACGCCCCAGGGGACGGACGGGATGAAGCTGTAGGGCAGGATTGGTGCATACCAGGATGAGCTCGGAGATCGAACAGGGCGGCAGACAAGCAGACAGACGAGAGATCCGGGCTATAGTCAGGCCTGCTCGCCGTCGTCGTTGTCGTCTTCTTCTTCTTCTTCTTCTTCTTCTTCTTCTTCTTATTCGACTCGCGTTTCGCTTTCTTTTCGCTGTCGAAACGTCAAGAAGTTTCCTTTTTTGGTAAACAAAAAAAAATATATAAAATAAAAAAAAAAAAGTTGATCTTATCACTGTAAGATTGGTAAGATCTGTATGGTAAGTTTGGTAAGTTTGGTAAATTTGGGCCTGCTTTAGCTAGATGTCGTATCAAGGCTGTAACGAGCCTGCAGGCCGCCAATCAGCAGGGACTCCGGCTTCATTTTTGCGCATCCTGGTGCCCAATCCGAGAAGATGATGGGCGGGCTTGGGCATTTTAGTGCGTTATGTATGGCTGTGTTGTTCTTCTACGATATTCGCCACGTTACGAGGAGAAATTTATGTGGGTGCGTAGAGAGCCAGGGCGGCAGGGTGGAGGGCAACAGGGGGGGTATCTCGCATATCACATATTCACTGAACTAGCTATATAAGAGAGTAATAACTGAAGGGGGGTTAAGGGGGGGTGGCTAGAATGAGACCTGCTCGGCTTTAGATCTGCAACATCAGAAGCAGTGGCTATGTACATCATCATGATCATCAAAGCGTGAGGTAATATAAAAATATATGATATCACCCTCCTCCGCCAAAGAAGAGACCATCAAACAGATCGAAACCAGTATTTTCGTTCCAGTCATGCTGGAAGTCAACGGCAGTGCCGACCCCGAATCCCAGATCGAGGGCACTGTTTCCTGCCATGGCAGCATGGGTGCTATCTGGTGAATATAACGGAAGACTCGTCAAGTTGATGTCTGCTGCTTCGCCGCTGGTGTAAACTGCTTGGTTGTCCGAGGTATACGGGCGAGAGGGACTGTTCAGGAGATCATCAAGTCCAGGGACGTAAAATGGTGCTCCTGCTTGGCTGGTGGCCTGTGGGGAATGGAACTGTTGTTGGTGAGGGTTGGGCTGCGGGGTCCGGCTTGCAAACGGGTCAGTATATGTGTAATGATGGGTAGACTGGTGGTGTGGTGATTGCTGCTGCTGTTGGCGTTGAGATGCGGCTTGCAGCTGGCTGTTGAACTGGCTAGGTGAAAAGGGGTTTTCTAGTTGGCGCGAGGCGGACTTTGGTGACCTTTTCTCTGGAGTAGTGGAAGCGGCTCGGCTGGGTATATCGCGGTGCTCATGGTATTGTGGGGGCGAGGAAGACTGCGCCTTTCCAATCTTAGACGAACCAACGGGGTTGGACAGAAAACTCGTGATGCTAAAGCGGTTATCTGTGCATGGTTCAACCGGACGAGAGTCCACGGGCTGTTCTGGTATTGAATCTAGGCTTCGAGAGGGCCTGGAGCTATGGTAGTACGGTTGTTGAGGATAAGGCTTGTAGAAAGGCGTGTTGTGGAAGTATTGACTATCAGATATTTGATTCTGATTCTGATTCTGATTCTGATTCTGATTCTGATTCTGATGCTGTGGTCTGGATTGAGCGCCGGAATTGTGAGTGCCCAGCCTATCACCAACGCCTACTTGCTGGCCAAAACCAGTAGTTGATAGTCCCATTTGAACAGTGGCTTTGCTCATCCGCTCAAAAGCGTCTCGACATGCTTCAGCAGGCGGACATTTCTCAATCAAGTCCTTGAGTACAGATGTTGCAGCGAGGACAGTGAAGTCGACGTCATCAAGGGTCTATCATCAAGGTCAATAAGTATTTTCTTGGTAAAATTGTAAGGAAAGGTACTGACAAGTCTACTTCTCACAGCAGGCGAATGCCAGATAGCATACAGAAACGATATTCCTGATAATATGGGTTAGTATATTTCAACCTGCACAAGACATGGGGGAAAGGACTAACCGGCCATGAACAAATGGTGAGTTGCGAGGTAAGTGAAATTGACCAGACGCACACGGTGTAATTGTCTGTAAATTCTCAGCACTTTCTGGCCGGCTTCGGCAACCATTGAATAGACATCATCCTCATCTTCTGGCTCCTCAACACTTGCCAGAGAGGGGCTTGATACATCCTCTGTCGGCGTTCTCTCTGCGGCCAGTGGCTTCGGCACAGTCAAGCTCTGTCTATATAGGCTTATCAGAGTCTGCCAATAGTTCAGCTCCAAGAACTGGAGCGAGAACTGCACCCCTATCTCATGAGGCTTGGGCGCGGACTGTATCCACTCATCAAGACGCCTGTGAATGTCTATCCGCCAGGAGCGGAAGCTATCAAACTTCTGCAAAAACGGAGAAGGAAGTTTCGTGTGCATAAACGAGTTGTTACGGTTTCTACCGTTCTTCCTCGCTAGCATGGCCTGCTGATGTTGAAGAACTTCCTGTATTTCAGATTGGAGGAGGCGTAACTTGAAGTAATGATGTGCAACTAGCTTGTATGAAGGAGCCCCAGACGGTGCTGCAACGAATCCAGCCTTGGTAATATATTCATCATCAAGGAGGGACGGGAATTCAGTGGTGATGACTTGGTCGGTGATACCAAATGGACGGCCAACGCAGGTGCTGACCAGCCGGTCAAAGGAGTAGACACACCACCAGAGCCTTCGTCTGAAATCACGAATGAACTCCCTTCTCCCTCTCTCGCGAGGATCAACTTTCAATCTGGCTCTGACCTGTTCGGATGAGTGCTCATCAATGCTGTCCATGCGAGACATACGGCGCGCAACTTCAACCTCATCGATGGAATCAACACCTGTCCCGTCTTCGTGATGCAGGCCAAGGTCAATTGCAAGCCGAACAGCAACGCCGGCAATGTACCAGAGTCCAGGGGCAACTGGTCGAAGCAAAGCAAAGCTGGCTAGCAGCAGGACAGCTTGTAGCTCCTCTAACCCGCCCCCAAAGCCATCCGTAGATGAAGAAGACCCTAGACACGACTCCAGATGAACGACGGCAGAGGCGTGATATTCCTCCGGTTGGTGCTGTTGCTTTGACAGCCGCCTTCGTTTATGTGCTGGTGAATGAGTCGGGCTTTGCCTGCTATCGTCGTTCTTCATCTCCTGAGACGTAGGCTCGCCGTCGCCTTTGGCATCAAAAATGACGCCAGCTCCAATAGCACAGACGATATTCAGGAAATAGAGGTCCCGAGCTGAACGCTGCTTTTCCTCTGTAGCATACACCCGATTGAAGACCTCCATGAACTCGACCCGGTGCAAGATAGGGATCTGGGCATTTGAATATTCGAAGTATAGACTGACGAGCCTCTGAGCGACTTCACGGTCTGGGAAAGGCGCCTGCTTCATGATCGGTTTTGTCTGCAGGCCGAAATATGAGTCCCTCATGGAATGCATGCCTCCGCTGGCGGCGCCGCCATCACTGCCATTCTTGCTCGCACTGGCAGCAGCCGACTGTCGACGGGAGCCCGGCCGGATTGATCCTCGTTCGGAGACGCTGGATGAAACCGAGCTTCTGACGGCGGAAAACACCACTCGAGCAAAGGATATGCCGGACGTAGAGCCTAGGTATCTCGGGTCAGAGGTGCCCTGGACAGGTACCATCCCAACGCTGGAGACCAGTTTATCAATCCGCCTGCTCGCATCGTCGGCCAGCGATTTCCTACCGCCATACAGGCTGCTGTTGCTCCTGGCCGCAGTCTTTGCTGGCACGGACAGAGGACTGGCCGGCTCACGCTTCACCCTTGCGTCACTACTTCCCGGTGCAATATTATTGTTGTTATTCAACGGCGGCCTTTCCTTCGTCCCGGCCTCCTTTGCATGCGCTGCATCCCGTCCTTCGTCTCCTGCTCCCCCTTCTACTGCTGCTCCTGTTCCGGCTGACGCGCGCGCCAGGCTGGCCAGGCGTAGCTCGTCTCCTTCACCTTCGTGCGCCTCCGGGGGCCTAAACGCAACGCCATTCTCCGTCAGAAGAGCCTCCAGGTATGCGACACGAGACTCCAGAAAGAAGACATAGCTCCTCGGTATCTCACGCTTTGTAGCCGGATCATAGCCGACACAGTGAACCTTCGCCTTCTCGCAGGACTGGCAGCGCGGGAGCCGCTGGTCGCACCGGTTCTTACGGATTCGACAGCGATTGCAGGCAGAGACGTTTCGGAACGTGGAATGCGAAGTCGCAGACGCGGGTGGTACCTCGAGATTGGTCGACCTTTGGCTCGCGCTCGTACCAGGACGGCTCATGGTTGATATGGCAGGCTACTGCTGCTGCTGCTGCTGCTGCTATTGCGGCGGCGGGGAGGAGTCGTAGCTTGTGCTCTGTTGAGATCCAGGACGAGCGGTCACTTCCAGCGTGGCAGCAGAACTGGAGGATCCATTGGGCGCATTCGGTCTCTTGAAGCCACTAGAACTCGGTGGTGAAGCAACTGAGGCGGGAGAAGGACAGATGGAGATGGAGATGGAGCTGGGGGTTCGAGCATCGCCAGACGGGGGGGTGTCAGTCTAACTAGCCAACTTAGCGTATTATGTTATACGAAGGTTGATGCAACTCCATCAGGGGCCAGCTGCTAGGTCCAGTCATATATGATCAATAACATCTATCTCGAGGGCCTTCTTTTCGTCTCTAGATATTCCATCTCTTCTTTGCTTTTTATTCGGAGGATATCTGTCGGAGAAAAAGCTGAGCGGCTTCGGGTTTATTAGCTAGTTAGCTAACTTTGATAGACGCAGCAAAAAGCGTGCAAGAGCTTGACTGCTAACTAGTGATGAATATGTCCATCAGGGGGTGCAATAGAAGGCGAAGAGAAACTCGCAAGGTCGAGCTCTACAGGTAGTAAGATGGCTGCAGCCAGGAGAACCAGGTGGATGACTTGCTCAGGGGGGGATTCTACCAAATAACAAAGCCCCCTCTATCAAAATTGAACAGCCACAAAACCATCCAACGCCGGCCTTCAACAGTGGTAATATCAGATAGGGAGTGAGAGAAGACGCTCTTTACTGTCACTTCTACTCCTCGCGGGTCAGAATATCGCATATTTCTTCGCAGAATTTCATGTCTTCAATTAGCATGCTATGACGCCCAGCATGGCCAGTGACTAACTCGCGTACTGGTTGCACCCAATAAAAGAATTAGGGGGTTAGATTGGCTGTTTCAACGTTGATAGGAGGGCAGGATTGCTGGTATCTTACAAGCATAGATCTTGGAGAGAAGCTGGTTCGGACACGCAGCTAACATTGAACATACCCGAGTGTCCTTGAACTGCGAGCCCTCATTGGATTCGGTTCTGGCGACCGAGCTGGCATATTGAGCTGCCTCGTGGAATATCAACTTCATGGTATCCAGGTCCTTTCTGATCTGGGCGTCTTTTGCTTCCTGGCCTGAGGAACTATGCTTTAGTAACTATCTACATTGCTGGAGCTGTAGGAAGGGGAAAAGGAGGGAGGAACATGGACAGTATATAACATACCAGCTTGCTGTGGCTGCGCAATCTCTTTACAAAGAGCAGAAGAAGGATAGTCACTGCAACTGACTTCATTATCAACCTCTAGCCCATCATCCATGAGGATATCCCCCTGTGGCTCAGGGTCTTTTTCTTTTTGCACTTCTGCTGCTGTCTTTGCCTGCTTAGAGCAAGAGACTAGAGGTTCTTCTGCCTGCCTCTTTTGCGGGGCCATCTTTTTCTCTGTGTGGGCGATATCAAAGGTCCTCAGCTGCTGTGTCAAGGCTGACAGATGGATTGGCTGTTAGAACGAAGACAGGTTGTGGATAGTGTAACTGGTAACTGAAGCAGAGAAGTGAAAGAAAAGACTGGAATTCAAATTAATTTCATTACCTTGCTATAGAAGCAAGCCATAAAATAGGTTTACAAAGATAGTAGCCACCCTATTGAAGGTTGCCTATATAACTCCTCAAAAGAAATGAGGAAGAAAGAAAGCATCAGGTATTTCGTTTATTTCCTTATCCCCTGTAATGAATGATGCGCCATAACCCATTATCCGTCACGCCAGCACAAGTATATGTATTGTCAGTTCAACCCCCTCTGTAGCCATCTGTAGTCTGCTGGAAATTATAAGACAAGGAGTCAAAGGCTCCTGGGATATATACAGGTTCAACCGATCCTCCGGATGATACAACTGTGTAGAGTGCCTCTGGTGAGGTCATGGCTATTCCGGAATGAGGAGTGACCGGCGCAGAGTCAGTAGTCGAGACATTGTCATAAGTATTGTTGTTGTTGTTGTTGTTCTTTTGAACGTTGAATGTTCCATTGTGTAAGGTAGCTCCAGTATATCCAAGTCCTTGAAGCTCAAGGCCATCGATCACACGGCCAAGATCGCCGTAGCCATCGTTTAATTGTTGAAGAAACTCGGCATCAAATCCCATCTCTAAAAGCGGGTCGACCGCAATGCTTTCATTATTCACTCCATGGGGATGGACGGACATAGGGCTTGGAAAGTTGAGGTTATGTGGGCTGTGGGAACCAGGGGAAGGAGTGTAATTGTGCGCGCTGCTCCTGCTCCCGCCTCCACCTTTGAAGCAGAAATCAGAATTATTCCTAGTGCTATCTGCGATGCTGGCCGGATTGCTTGCGGTTGTTGATTCAAACCCAGAGGGAGGAGATAAGGTCCCCGACAGCGCTTGGCGGGGCCGGGAGGAATGGGCTGGAGCCTGCCGTAGACCCCCATCGGCGGCAAATGGTGGCTGCATACCCAAATCTTCAAGCTTGATGTCTTCCGTATCCGAAGAATCTTCAAGACCATTATTTCGCTTCAGAACTTTCAGCCATATTGGATTGTCTGCGCACGTTTGATTCCAGGTATCATCACTTCCATAGACAATCAGCCTAGCCTTTGACTGCAGCAGTTTATCAGTAGGAGTAATGCCTTCGTCAAAGAGCCGTGCAATGTAAGCGGAAAGCTCTTTTTCTAATCGTCGGAAACAGCTAGCATCAGTGCGGAATGGCATCCCGAGGGCTGACATTTCTGTATCTTCGCTTGGTGCAACTTTGTGTTCTTTGCTAAAATTGCGTCCGTATTTTGCTAGATTGAAAGCCTTGGACGCTACCCACGGGTCTAACGTGTTCCTCTCCTGCCCAATTAGATAGGGAGGCATGGAGTTTTCAACACATTCCTCAATATGTGATTCAAATCCCCAGTCACCTCGCCATTGGGAAATTTCTGTCCCAGCCTTAAAATGCGCTGCGAGATGATCAACACGTTCTTTCCAAGTGTTAAAGGTTGCTGAACAGAATCCACATCGGGACTTGATCTTAGTCGTAGTGCTCTTCCAGGCGTCCATCCACGGAGCAAGTTTAACACCATGCATCAAACGCAAGTGCTGATTTAGGTGGTCCTTGCGGTAGAAAGTCCGCTCCTGGACCGACTTTTCCTGACAGGTGCTAAAATTGTGTGTTTCAAGATGGTCCTCGTCCGGATTAGGATGATTGCAGAAAGCACAGACAAGCTCACCACTGGAATTAGTGATGATTCCCCCATTTGGCGCACATGTCCACTTGTCAAGGGCAAGATGCAACGACTTCTCATGGCGTTGCCAATCATATTTAGTTGGAAAGGAGTCTGTACAAAAAGTACATTGGAAGATCCGGGCAACCCTTGACTTTTGGAAAGGGTTCGGTGCTGCAGCAGATTTATGACGCCGTCGCCGACGTTCCCGGTTTTCGGTTGAGTTCCATGACCCACGCGAGCGGTGTGAAAAGGCTGAAGCAAATGACATCTCGGACAAACTGGACTTATTCGTGTCCGCGCTATAACCGCTAATTGAATGTGCAGTCAGTTTATTGGAGTATGAATCGTCGTTGCTAGAGTCAGTGTGGCGTGAGTGCGATTTTAAATGGGGGAAGTCAGATTCCAAATGAGAGATGAAAGAACTAGTAGCCATGGCCTGAATGATATCTCTTGCCGAAGCTGCTTCGTTTTCCGGTGGAGAATGTTTCCATCTCTCGAGGGGGTTGAGCTCCGAGATATCAACCCCAGGAGGAAGACGCTTTCCGGGGATAGTTACCGCCCCGGGGTACGGGGAAGTACAGCGAGGTGGGGGTCGTACTTTTCCTCGTCGACGGGCGTTTGCCAGCCAACTAGAAATCTGGCTCCTGTTCAATCCAGTTTTCTCTTTGAGCTCGTCCTTCTCGGCGTCAGTTGGATACGGATGTGAAGCGTGCTCTGAGATCCAGGACTTCAGGACCTTGACGGCTTTAAGTGAAAATCTGACTCCGGATTTGCGGGGCTGTTGTTCTATATCTTTTGGTAGGTTGGAGATATTTCCAGGGTTTGGTGGTTGGCTTGGTGATGGAGGCCCTTTTGCAGAACTGGCTTCGGACTCGGATTGTTGAGTATCGATGTGATTTTCTTTGGACAGAGGACGGGTAAAACTGCACTTTCGGTATAAAGCAATGCAACAAGTACAGGCGTTTTGCATAACACCTCTTTGAGCAACGACACAATCCAATCCCATACAACGGCAGAAGTAGCAGGGGTCCTTCACGCGGTGCATAGGATAAGCTCCATCGAGGCTCGAGGGCTGTTGCGCATCGCTGGGTTGGCTGAAAGAAGGTGTAGTATTGGGAGGCGCAGCGTTGTCAAAGCCGGCCAGTATTGGGTCGCAGCGGTCTTGGTCAGCAACTTCGGTGTAGCGGAAGATGTCCCCGTTCTGTCGAGCAGCTTCATCAAAATCGAAATACTCCATGATGAGAGGAGCCTGAACTTTTAAATAAGATGGTCAACCTATTCAGCTCAATATGAAGGTATCCACACGGTCCAGGTTAGACCAATAGGCTGGATATGGCTGGGGGTTTGTTACGAGCTGGTGATCGAGTTTACAAAGTGTCGAAGTAACAAGCCGTTCGGAGGACCGAAGAGGAATAAGCTACCCAGTCAGGCCAGGTTACTAGGCCTTGCTCTCGTATCTTCCTCAAAGAGTTATGCAGTGAGATGGGGTTCCTTGGATGCCGCAGTAAAAAGACGAAACATGCTCAAGCTGGGAGGAGGGTATTTTGGGAAAGAATGTGAGAAGAGGAGTGATTGAAAATCACCAAGCTGGCTTGAGTCACACTTCTCGTTTCCTGCACGGCGGAGGCTTGGTGCAGTGGGTTTATCCAGAACGACCCTTCGTGATCATGGAGAATTTTCTTCTCAATAGGCTTTTGGCGCTAGACAGGGTACCTATATTTATAGGCAAGGGATGTGCGACATCAGAGACCGCGCTAGTTGGCAGAGCGGGATCCCCCGCCAATGTACTCCGTAAACTACCCATGGCTGATTGAGCGTACTCAATGTTGGCCGTTTTCATCCATCCTTTATTTGATTTAATTATTTCGAGGGAGGTGTGTTTCGAGATTGCCAGTACCACCACCACCTCAAGGGTCGTGTATTATTGCATTTTCTCCGACTCTGTATGTTTGGGGATCCCTCGGAGGGGCCCCGAGTAGGCCTTTTCTCCCTTGGCATTGGCGGGAAGCAGCATCGCCCTCGCACGACAGAAGGACGCTTCCAGACGCATCATAGTTTTGCACCAAGTCAGCAGGTGTATCAAAGTAGCGAGACTGCAATTACTAGCCTGCAACCCGGTCCCCATTAGGTTATTTTTTTCGCGATTTTTATTTTTTATTTTCCTTTATTTTTCACTCCTCGAGTCGCGGTCAGCCGGCCCATTTCCTTAGTTGTGGGGGAGGAAAGGTTGGCTGTGAGAAGTAAAGTCAATCACGGCTGACATAAGGAAATGAGTGGCCGAGATTGCACGCCCTTCGTTTGACATCGTGGCCGTTGATGCCGGGAACCCATCCCCACAATTTCTAGAAGAATATCCCCGGTGCATGTTACTTCTTCTTTTTCCTTTTTGGAGGCTCGAAGGACGCCTCTGGAATTTGATGGGGATGGGCGAAAGTATACCAGAGCCGTCTGCCCCGGAAGAGCCAAAGGCTCTCGATCGAAGTTCCGAACATCGTTGGATTTCCCTCTCCTCGGACTCGTTCAGAAGGCGTCATGGCGCCCTCGGTTGACTCTCGCATCGGTCAAGACATCCGACGCTGATCATGTCCGGCATTTCTTCCCAGCGTTATCCATTTGTCAGGCCACTGGGGTATGAAAATAAATATTTAAATGGCCGTGGTTGTCGAGATTTTACACACGTGTCTTCTGCGCCGACCGACAAATTGGCAACCTGGACAAGCACAAAGAGGCTTGGACAACCGGCACCGATTTCCGGCCGGGCTAACCTTCCAGTCAAAATTAAACGTGCCACTATAAATAACTAGCCAAGCATTTTCTCACCCTCCTTTTCCCAAGTATTATTTATTTCCCAGGGAAGAGGGGGACGTCTCCGTGGCAGAAGTAGCAAGTTATCGACGGTGGTAACGCTCGTCAGATTCGAAGATCTTCAGCGTGATTTGCTGGGAAAGACGGCCGTCACGGCCGGCGAGGTCTTGGCCTGGAAAATTGCATCTTGTAACGTCATTATCCGCGCAAGAGGCTGCGCAGCTTCTTGAGTTCAGCCCGTCCATCCAGCTTCAGCACAGCATTTCTCGATCTGACAAACCGCAAAACAAACTCATCAGCAACTTGCAACTCTGGACCAGTTGCATCTGCAGGCGTGGGAGCCAATCATCTAAGTTCCCCTGCGTGGACCTACCTGCTTCGGACACTGTTCCATCGCCAGCGTTACTTCGCATCATCCACCGGCCTTGGTCTCAAATTATTGGTGTAAATCGTGTTTGCGGGTCCTCGGAGCCCAGGCATCAGGCTAACAGGAAGCTCAATAATATATACTCTGTGTAGGAATGATCCCTCCCCAGGGCCAAGCCCCAGAACCGGTCACAATATATATGCTGGATGGTCAATTAAGCATGTTAACGGACGGGTCTCTGTTGTCTGGGAGCGAGGTTGTTAACTAGTTAGTGAGCTTTTAGGTTGGGTTGTGTGTTGTTGGCGTTGGCGAGCGGAGATGTCAAATGTTACCCCTTTTGATTGCTTACATAAGACACTTTATTGTTATTAGATCTGTAGCTACTTTGATTCTCAGGGGCAACAAGATATCAGATTATTACCAGCTACCTTGTCTGTGATCTATACGACTGTTGCCACATCTTTTTGATGTTCAGCTTGCTGCAAGCCAAGCAGCTAAGTTCTCGACAATCAGCTAACTAGTTAGTTGAGGTAACATTTGAAGGGTTCCGTCTTACGCCCTGGTACCAGAGAGCAAGGGATTTCTCCTTATGTACCTTCATCTTACCAGGAAACTTGCTCATACCCCCACGATCCAAGGCCATCAAGGCCCGCAAAAGCTTGAAAAATGGGAGGCACAGGGGTGGAGTGCCGTCCCGGCGTTGCTCTATCTTGATTCGTGGGAGGTTCCCTTGGAACAAAACAAACTCATTATATTCTCTCTCTGGGGCCCAAAAGGCCTTGTTACCTTCACCCCTTATCCATGGCTGATCTGTCCAAACAAGGCTATAAATTGACATAACCGGAGCGATATACGGATGCACATGAACATTTTTCTTGCACGGCTGAAAAATTCACTAGAGCGTTGAAAACAGAAAACAATGCTCACAATATACTACCCAAAAAAATTAATTTACTCCTCATGAAAACGAATCATGATTAGAAGTATATGACGAACCTGCCCATGCGTACTATTTCAACCCGAAATGGTAGCGTTCCATCTTGTCGGCCGGGTAGATGACAATTTCTAGGTAATGCTGTATATCTATACTATACTGAGTGTCATACACACCACTAGACTCGGACAGCTTGTTCTTTTCTTAAGTCCAAATATCCTTTGCCACTCACAGAAAGGTATTTAGATTGTATAGCTCGCTCCTGGGTCTTAAGATTGTGAAATGAAAGTATGAGCCATTTAACTAGGCCTTTCAAGCTCGATATCTTGGAAAGACTGTTATTCAGGGGATAAATGCACTTCCACCTAGGATCTACTAGAGATTTCAAGAGCATTACATAGTTTGATGTGTAGGGTATCGTCTTCTGTTACGTGTTCTATGGCCACGAAGGACGCACTAATGTCAGGGGTTCAGGGGGTACATTTTACTGAAAATTGATACATGAGCTCACATATGCAGTTAGTTACCTTCGGCATACTGAGTACCTGGTAGCAAAGCAAAATCATTGAAATAGTTAACTAGCCAAACAGGAGCCACATATGCTGACCAGTTATTTATAGAAATTGTAGCTAAATGAGGCAGTTTTCTCAAACAACTTGCCCATCCATTAGACACTAGTGGCCCCTTAACGTTAGTGCAACTTTTGATAGTAGTTAAATGAAAAAAATCTACACTTCTCATAGGGATTACAAGGCAGCTAGGAGATGATGTAGTTAACGCTGGATATCAAAAAGGAGAACTGGTCAATCTTACAAAACAATATAATGAGCGGACACTGGCAAATTACTACCTAATATTCCATAGGATCCCAATGATAACTCTGACTCTGAGGAATAAATATTGCATGATTTTTAGAAACAGGGCTTGTTAGTTGCTGGCTAGTGCCAAGTTGAGTATGGCTGATAGTTTGTAGGGATGGGTAACATGTACCTAGGCAGCTATTATGCTGGTACTTCTGGGGTAATATGAGAGAGGCTGGAATTAGAAGCAAAAGAGCGGTTACTCTCTGGCCTCTCTATATATCGCGAATTAGAGACAACACTGGAATTTTCTGTGAGTCTCCGATGAATACTACTCTTGAAATCTTGAGAATTCGCATTCGGTAAATGGCCTGGTTTATGTTGAGCAAAGTAGAGCGGATACGGAGTAATTCAACAAAGTATGGTACCTTACGTCGAGAGATGGGTGCTCCCTGTGTTGCAAGTGTATCAATTGTGATATTAGGCGTATGATTATCTATAACAGCCAGTAGCATAACAGGTATTTAGTTCCCGTCCAGTTATTTACTCCACCAAAAGCTAACACTAATACCAGCTTGCAATCCTCGAACATAGTGCCACCAGCCAATAGGGATGTACAGGCATTCGCCCTCTTGTAGAATTGTTTCCACATACTCTGCCTTGAAAAATCCAGGCCAAAGCTCTTCCCAGGCTTCTACCTCTGCGGGGGATAATTCAATGGCTGATATGTCAACTTGAGATGTATTGGACATATCTATTTGCTCCTGGCCTGCATCACCCTTCTTCTCCATGGTAGATGCATCCGAGGCTTTATGGTTCACAACTTCTTTTCCACGCGGGTAAATTTGACTTGCTGGAGTGTGGGGAGAATAAAGACGAATATATTTTGCGCCAACCACTTGAGCCAGGATGTTATGATATGGATCGTGATGTAATGGAGATATTGTCCATGAAGGCCCTATCCAAGTATTGATTATGGGGTCAGCCGTGGTAATATTATCACTGAGACCATCTTCACCATCCACACTGTCATGGTATTCAGTAAATTTCCCTTTATTACCATGAGGCATCGATGCTTCCCCTTGTTGAACTTCCTTTGAACTGTTTCCGTTGTCTGCTTGTTGTATGTTCTTTTTATATAGAGGAGTACCTGGTTCAGGTGCAGGTGGTTCGGCATAGCAGTAATCGGGAATACAAATATCTTCCTTCAGTGCCGGAATCTGAGTCAAAAGGTCATGCTGTGCCATATAACCAGTCTGTGCTTCCTTGCCAGTTGAACTGGTGCTTCGCCATAGATAATCTTTTGCAAATTCAGCAAATGGCATAATCCGTTGGCCCCAGCCTTCGTCCGTATACGACCTCCCAACCTCGACTGGAACCAATCTCCTTCCGCCAAATGTCCTTTCCGCCCAGTACTTAGGTGACGACCATGGCCGTGAAGACAGGGCTGGCCAGTGGTTGATCGCATTGGTAATAACTATGGGCGTCCGTATATTCCATATGTGTTCTGTAAATTCCTCGAATGTAAGCTCTGCAACCCGGGGTACAGGGTTTCTTAAAGAAGGCTGAGGGGCATAATCTAAGGGAAATAAACTGCTGCTCTCGCCTAGCTTTTGTCTCTTAGCCGGCCGAGACGGAAGTAAGTGAGGAAGCTCAGTTTGGCCGGATGGTATAGATGAGATAAATGAGGTAACATAATCCAAGCGAAGGCTTCCTTGAAATGTAGATAACAGGTCCTCTATTAGTCTTGTTCGGCGAGGAGCACCAGTCATTATCAAAGCTTTATCCAGGATGTGAATGACATCTGATACCCAAGGATAAAGAGTGGGAGAGTCCGCCTCCAAGTATTCATCTCTTCCCTCATCCAGTGATCCACTCAGGCACACTTGCTGTGCATTATCTACCTTCTTTCCGCTGACATGGCCGGCCTTGTCACTGCGTTGGATGTGTTTCTTCAGTAGCTGGCATGCTTTGATTAGGCTGGCATCAGTGTAAAGCCTCCGCCAACAATCTTTCACATCCTTGAATGGAAATATTCTTAGATTCGCGTCAGCGAGTTGGAGGGCACTGTCTGGTGTATCCAGAAGAGCCGTTTTCAGTTTCTGAACTTCATATCCGTAACATTCCAGAATTGGGTCATTGGGATCAGGAGCAGATATTGAGAATATTGCCCTATTTATAAGTTCATTTAATGTAGTCATTAGCACTGAGCTGAGGTCATATATCCCGTAAGCTTTTCATGAATCCTAGAAGAGATAAAGCTGCTGGGAGATGTAAGAGTAATACCGATTTACCGCCTACGCTCCTCCGTACCCATGGACGTATCATTTGTTAGAAAAAGTCAAACTGCGGGTGATTTGCTGACATAATCTATATGACTTCTGTATATATATCTGTGCCCAGTTATATTGTCTGCCAAGCTTATACTTAGTCATCAATATTAGCCAATAAAATCCTCCATCTCCTTTACACAATATATTCTAATTATAGATAAAGTTACCTTAAACTTTAAATTTACGAACTCACGAATTTATGACTAATCAAAAAAAGCCAAAGGAACGTCTTCTGCCTGCTTGCGTCGATTGATGTTGTTGATACCAGTCCTCAAGGATAAAAAAAAGGGGGGTGAGATAGGGTCATAGAGACGCTTCTGTTTTGAATACCATGCATATTAAAGAGGCATTTGATGCTTTAAATTTTGAGTTCATCACCATCAAGCTTCAATTATTAATACGAGAGTGACGAACTGAATCGGTGGGCTAGTAATAGCTTATAAGATGTGCTTCTGCCTGTCCCTTACTTTGGCGCGCTCAAGATGGATAACTTCATCGTAAGGAAGCGGCGGAGGACACCATCCACGGCTACCAGCACAAGTTTAGGGGATATCCGCGATGATGAGCGTCTTAGCTCCGGGAATCTTGACCATGAGGAAGACGACTCAACAGACGTGAAACTGGCTAAACTGGCGTCTATCTTTCCAGATATCTCGCCAGGTGAATTATTAGATCTCCTCATAGCCAATGAAGGCTCTATCGAGGCCACTACTTCATCTCTTATTGAGCATGGTATTGCAAGGAAGAAAAATAAGCAAGTAACCAGCAACTCTGGGTCTATCCAAAGCTCATTGTCGTCTTACAGAATACGGTTGAACTCTGACCGAGAAATTAATTCCCCTAGCCTTCTTCCAACTCGCAAAGGCAAAACTCTTCATCTATACTCTCCTGATGATATATCACGGTACACATCCTGTACACTGATACATAACTTTCTCCCGCCAGCCGAGGCAACAGCTTTATTGAATGAGCTTCTAGAGGAGTCACGAACCTTTGCCCGGCAAAAGTTCCAACTATTTGACAATGTTGTATCAAGCCCGCACTCTGCCGGGTTTTATGTTATGACGGAAGAAGAGCAAAAGGAACAACAATCCCAGTACTCATACTATGGGAGCCTCAGGAACGATGTTCGCAAAGTGACACCAGAACTGCGCCGAGTCTCGGCCATCGTTAAGAAGACCGTGAACCAGGAAATTGAAAAGCGAGTGAAGACATTTTATCCAAATGGCAAAAAACTGAAATACCAATCTCCCAGGGAGTGGGAGCCAAATGCCGCCTTCGTTAATTGCTACGACGGCCCCACTGAGAGCGTGGGATACCATTCTGATGAATTGACGTACTTAGGGCCCAGAGCAGTCATTGGTAGCCTGAGCCTTGGTGTCGCCAGAGAATTTCGGGTGCGCAGAATTGTACCCCCTGACGAGGATGAGGATGGAGATGCCGATAAAAATATCAACGGGGAACATGGCTAGAATATTAGCAAAGAGGAGAAACAAAAGTCCAATCTTTCCCGCTCGGATATACAAGGCCAAATCTCAATTCATCTACCACACAACTCTCTTCTGGTGATGCATGCCGAAACTCAGGAGGAATGGAAGCATAGTATTGCTCCTGCGCAGACTATCTCGCCTCATCCCATCTCTGGTAACAAACGCATTAATATCACCTACCGATGGTATCGAGACTCACTACATCCGAAGAAGACTCCACGATGCCGCTGTAATATGCCTTGTGTTCTACGTTGTGTGCAGCGGAAACGGGAAACCCGGGGGAAATATATGTGGATGTGCTATTCTAGTTACGCGCCGGGGAAGCAGTCATGTTCTTTCTTCCAGTGGGCAAAATTTGATGATGATGGAGAGCCAATCTGGGATGAGAATAGTACCAGGGATCACTGATGGTCTGCATTCCTTCCTGGATAAGCCCCTGGAAAAAGTCATAGGACGGAAGCCCGAACGACTTTCATTATTTCCATATTAACTGCGTAAAGGAATACCATGCTAAACATCTTTTAGCCCTCCTTCCTGTTTCCTTGGATCAGCATAATTAAAATTGAGACTTAACAGTTTCATCATGTTAAACCCCACAACTGTCATGTAAACAACCAACATTTGAACATATGCTCCAAGTGCTACCGGCTAAGATCACTTAATGTATTCGAGCAAAAGGATCTTCCAAGCGATGCAAATGACCGTACTCGGGGATTCTGCCTAGGGATTGCTGTGAAGTTATTGGATCAGCATGTTTGCAAATATCCTTATATGGGTTCATGCTTCCAAAAGGAGACATATCCCTATATGACAAACAATTTTCCCTTATAACTGAGGCCCCATTTGCAATATCTTTTCCGGACTTCTTTGGCTGATAACCATTTCCAGCAACATTGCTGACGATCTGTTGACGTTTCTTGACTGAAATAACCTCACTGTCGATCGGAGGTTTTATGATCTGGCGATGGCTGATTGCAGAATTACTTCGAGGAGCTGGAGGTTTTACACTATCATCCCAGGTAACTGCTTTGCGGGATCGAGGAATAGTAAATTTATTCCTTGTCAAAAGAATAGTGTTTCCAGAGAGTGCTGAGTGTTTATACTCAAGGGATGCAATGATGTTGTGTTCGTTATTAAGAGTATTACTCGCTGGTTTGAGCATTCCTTGAAGTTGATCGATCATCCGGTTCACGGTTGACTCGTTCGGAGTGTGTGGTTCATTCTCCCTGTTGGCTGTGGCTGGGCCACTGTTGATAGGACCTTGCAACTCGGGGATAGGTTTCACTTTCACTAAAACTGTCCATGATTCGCCGAGTCGAAGTACCCTCCGGTTAGTGTCTCCAAGAATGGCCTCAATTTGTGAATCAGGCCCTGCTTCAAGCTGCAATACAAGATCGTGAAGGTACCCTGAATCAATACCTATCCTAAGATGTTGAATAGCAAACTGCAGCTTGCTTCTAAATGTGAGGTCCACCGAACTTTGCTCTTCACTACCAAAATTGGTTCCAATGTGCCAGCCTTCCAGTGACTGACAGCTGTTAATCATCATGGCATTGTCAGGTGATTTGGTATGGTAGCGCAGTTTATCCCCATTAGACTCTCCCGGAATCAGTACTGTACTTCCTGCACTAACAAGAAACATATGACAAGATGCTCCTCTGCTTGAGTGGCGAATCAGGTAGTTGGAGGCCTCCTTTATAGCTCCTGCTAAACGGGACCGGCTTGACTCACCATGAGGCAGCTGGAAAGCCGGAAGTGACCGGAACAGAATCTCAACTGTGTCTAGACTGTAAGATGATAATGGCATTAGGAGGTTCAGGTTTTGAGTAGGATCGGGAGATATACAGCAGATGGCGATTCTGTCTATAAGTATATCTAATACTGAGGCCAGCTGAAATGCGTTTCTACACGCGGCCTTCAGCATTCCTTCTGAAACCCTTGCCCTAACAGGTCTTGTTAGCCCATATAAAGACACAATGTCAGTAGAAGCTGAAGACTTACGAATTATCAACTAGTATCATGACATCTAGTGGGATATCCGCATCATATGGTCCATTTATATTTACACCACTCGTAAAGTCATTGATACTAGCTGTAACGACAGCAGATACCCACGTTGAATTATCCTGCCCAGGACTAGATTTCAGGGAGTTCGGCACTAGGTTGACAGCTGCGGACGTGATTGGAATATGCCGGGGGATGCGAGGTATTTGGGCAGCACTGTCACGGGGCTTAGGAGCCAGGGGATTATCACCTACAAAGGAAAGGGTTTGGTGCCTATGGATTTGAGCTTTCTCGTAAAGGCCGTCACAGGACTTTTTCTCTGTCTGTATACCTGTGTGCCCTCGCAAATTCACTTCAGACCCTTTCCCTCGAATGATAGAGGCTTTTTGTAAAGAAGGAAGTCTGAAGCCATGCGCTCTAGCAGTATTGTCTGCTTGATTGCCACTACATTCACGGCTCCTAAAAGCAAGTGCGTTGATAGCACGAGACAGAATATTTGGTCCTTTTGGAGTTGGCTGGCGTTGTCGAACGTCTGCAGATGACGCCCTACCATCCCAAACGCGCTTTTCCTAACAATCCCGGGCAGTATTAGCAACCAGTATAAAAAACCATAATGCTTTATTATCAACATACGACTGTGAGGTTTTCCATCGCTTTTGGATGGAGAGCGGTAGCTTTATGTAGACGCTGGTGTTGCCTCGCAGTTATAGGTTTATTGCTCCTCTCCACGTTCTGGGTAGTTGATAGAGGAAGAAGTGGCGGGCGAACAACATGAGAGGAGCGCCTCCTTGGTATACGACAAGGTGAGCAAACGTTCTTCTTGACTAAGGCTGCGGCGTTTTCGTTTGCCTTTGGAAATATCTTTGATATCTCCAGTGGTTTGGGAGTTGGGGTGTCGGTTAAACTGTGCGTCGAGTCCATGCTTTGCAACGCGTCTTGCTTGATCAACGTCACCAGTCACGCGAAGTGTTAATCTAGAAAACACGGCTAGCCCTAAGTCAAGTATCTACAAAGGCAGAAGATTGGGCTATCTTCCTTTGTACGATATTGGTTTAGGCTGGATAACACGCTGCTAGGTCTCCAAACCCACTCTAGACGTGCTCTTTTAGCTCCACTGGGTTTTGATATATATCCGAATAGCTTTCACTGGAATCACTTTGCTTGGTTGAATCGAAGGACCACGGAGGGTCAGATCGGCTTCTCTTATGTCGACGTCGAACACGGCGGCGGTTGTTCCGAATGCTCCAGTACTCGGCACAGGCCAGCGCGCCAACAAATATAGCGAACAGTAGAATTATAGGCACAAATACTAAGCCAATTATAATCAGGGTTCGGTCTCTTTCGCTTCGTCTGGCTAGCTGCATCTCGAATATTCTTTGGCCGTTTGCTCGCAAAACATAGTCCAGGGCAAAGGTTCCTTTAGGGGGCGAGAAGCCGGGCTAGTTGCAGGGTGTGAAGGGTGTATATTGGATTTTGGGATGTGACGCTGATGCAGGTCGGATTTCAGACAAGTCATATTATTATACAATAATACAATCCAAAATGGCCCGGAATGTTTATCTCCAACAGACGTATACATACATGCATATATGTATAGCTTCTTCACAAGGGAGGCTACGGTTAAGGGAGCCGGAAGGTACAACCCAGAGAATAAAACCCGAACGCCGTAGATCTAGAAGCCGGGGTAGGGCAGAACCAAAACAGAGCAGAGTAGGAGAAAGCAAAGAGGTGGAGGAAAGAGCAGTGTGCAGATGTATATATTCTCAAGGCTAAGCAACTGAGAGCGAAATGCAGGTGTATATAGGGTATCAAAAGGAAACAAGCAATGAAACTTAAGCCAAAGGCCGAGGATCAGGCTGACTTTCTTGAAGGGCAAAAATCTCTTCTTTTATATTTGTCAGGACACTGTGGTCCAGCTTCTGAAATCGGATCTGTTAAGTATCAAGTCAGTAACTAAGTAGATGCATAAGGGGAATGACATTCTAAAACGTATTTGAAACGGGTCATTCTTACCATGTCATCCCCTGAACTTCCAGCTCGAGACGAGCTCCCAAACAGTACCGATTCGAGAAAGCTATGATGAATATTCTCCTTAACTCTCTTTAGCCAGACACCTTCCCAATTCCACTCGCCGGGTGAACGGGCCTGTGGGCTGCTTCTCTGTATACTGTCCGGACTCAAAGTTCGCCCCAGTGTCGAGGGAGAACTGACTCCTGCATCCTTGCTGGATCGGCGTTCAGTTGCTGGTCCTGTCCGTGGATGACGACGATGTGCACTCCAAGCATGCCATGCATTTGGACACCCTGTAGCCTCCAGTGGAATTGAATCCAAAACAGTTTCGTCGTCAAATGTTGAACGGATATACTCAAGGAGATCCAAGGCAGTAACGTCAGTAACGCCAGATTTTTTTGGGTCCTGTATGTCGCAGGGAAGAGGTGAAATCCGGCTGATGATTTCATCAGTACTACTCTCTACCAGGCCGCTGTCCTGCTCTACGTGAACGCCAATATTCCCCGGTTTTTGACCACTTGTACTTCTAGATGATGAAAGAGAGCCAACGTTGCTCCGTTCGGTCTTTATAAACCACTGTGGGAAACCATGCCGTAGGCTAAACCCACCAGGCGGTAGCTGCTCTTCAATTGTTCCCGTTACAGAATCAAGATCAGACGGCCGGTTCGAGTATGTCTGTGTAGTCAAAGGTACAACTAGAGGGTGGAATATAGGAGTAGTAAACGTAACGAGCGGTGGGAGGTCAGGATATAAGGGCGGGAATCGGATCTGAAATCGAAGAATGGCCGATGCATAGGGACCTATTACGCTGCTTAGACTCGAAATTATGGTAGGTAGCCTAGCTTGGAACAAGCGCATTGTACCTTTCTGAACAAACAGTACACCAGACCATAGGGCTGGATCACTTGGAGAAAGGCTCACGTATACTCCAACTGGAGGAGACACCTTGATACTCGCGCTATGAAATCGTCCATGTTAGCTTGTGACGTAACCGGCAGTCAAACAATCAAGGGGAACTCCCGAAAGGCGAAGACTTACAACTCAAGACGAAGTTGCTGTCTGCGGAGAGCTGCAACCCTGGGAAGCTTGCTACTCGACATTGTTCTCACGGAGACTCAGCCTCGGTGAGTGCCGTGTCGTGTTGGTTGCGGGCAAGGTAATTGAGACGTTGGTAGAATAGTCCCTATCATGAGGTTGGGACAGGTAACTAGTTAGTTTACTCGTTAGTTAGTTTAGGTAGGCAGTTCGGAGGCTTGGCACTATCAGTCGCCAGGATCCTTGGTCTACAGAATCAACTCGACAGAAAACATCCCAAGATTAGTTATACCACAGGACGGTACGTCAATTAAACAAAATATTACATTCTAGGAAATCTATATGATACACAAGCCCATGCAAGAGAAATTACTTAATATGCGCCGTCCATTAGTTGTACAATCCTCTCAGGAATGATATTCACTCCCTGTGCATTGATAGCACTAATAGGGATGGAGAATATGCGATTCCGCCAAGCATCTTCTTGCTTTGAAGGATGTTCGATGGTTCCTTTCTCAACCTGATCAAGGTAATCCTTCAGAGCTGTGAAATTCTCTTGCGTGCCTGGCAGGTCGGCCTTGGTTCCAATGACGAACCATGGTTTCGAGTAGATATTATGGCTGGCATATACAAGAGGTTGAAGGGACGAGTCTCTTGCCGGCGGAGGCGGAGAGCTGGCATGGCCTTCATCTCCCATCCACTCATTCACTCGTGGCTCGTCTAGGTTGTCCGTAACTGGAGTCCATGGAGACAGTCGAGACTGGGTATCTAGGCTTAGCTCACGATCCCGCATAGACTGATACGCACCAAGCTCATTCCATAAGCCTTTAAGCGCCGTCACTGCATCTCCTGCGCTGAGGTCCACCACAAAGGCAAGGATTCCAGCACGCTCCACGTGTCGTAAAAACCCCAGCCCAAGGCCTTTGTCCAAATGAGCATTTTCAATCAGCCCGGGAATATCAGCAATTGTAAATCGTGGGCGCGGGGCCCGTCCTGGAGTTGCCAACCTAGCCTTCCGTTGGGAATAGTCATCCAGTACAACAGTGCCAATATTAGGCGACAAAGTCGTAAATGCCCAGTTCCCTACACGAGTCCGGCTGTTTGTTATTGAGCGTAACAAGGTACTTTTGCCGGCGTTCGGCAGACCAACCAATCCTACATCGGCAAGTAATTTGAGTTCTAGCTCGAGTTCGAGCCTCATACCTTGCTCGCCTTTTGTAGCGAACATAGGTCTCCCAATCGACTTTGACACGAAATGTGGGTTCCCAAGGCCTCCTACAGCGCCTGCTGCAAGGACAATTGGTGAATCCATGTGCCTAGAAAGATCGAGGTATATTGGCGCAGCAGGCTGTACAGCTGCAAGATCGGGCCTTCTCGGTGGGCCAAGTTCCGGGAAATCAGTTGCAAAGTAATCGGAGGGCTGAGAGCCAGGATATAACACCCACTGATCCCTCCGTGAGTTTATTGCTTGCAAGGCCTTTGTCCTGCTACCAAGCTCTCGGGTGAGCTCCTTCAGTTCTCGTTCCTTCTCTGCCACAGGATCGAATCTTTCGATCTCGCGTACCACTGTTCCAACAGGAACTTGCAACAAGACATCTTCTCCTCTTACTCCTCCTTGTGATTTACCTCTTCCATTTTTGCCTCTACCAGCTTTTATCACGCCTCTTCGCGCCAGTTTGTGTAGACTTGTCTGGCCTTCAACGGCTTGTATGAGTATGTTCCCTCCAGTACCTCCGTCACCACCATTCGCAGGGCCATGTTCTAGGTATTTTAGACGCAGGAACGCAACGCATCCTGATCCTCCCGAGCCAGTGTGAACGGTAAGAGAGCATCGGTCTTGAAATATCGATCGGCCATAGTCTGATGGAGCCGGGTTTAGGCGGCTGTTCGTCTCGCTACCGATCGATTGAGAGTAAGGGTCGTCGGGAGATATCCTATTACTCGTATGGAGGCTAGAAGATAATCGAAAGTGTTTGAGGTTTTTGGCGGCCCTTAATGCACTCCTGGGGGCCAGATTGGCAGATGGGCTGAGCAACAAACATGGGTAAAGAAATGGCATCAAAGTGCCATTGAGCTGAGCCATAAAGAGAAGGGAAATGGAAATTGCGTATCCCTTGTCAGAGAAGGGAATAAAATTCCAAATAAGTCTCTGTATGGTATCTTCCCGTCACCAGCCGTCTCCTTTTCGCTGCACTGACTCTGTGTCCTTTTCGCTCCTCATGTCCACCTAAAGTTGAATAACCAAAAAAAAAAAAAAAAAAAAGAAAAAGAGAGAAAAAGCAGAGAAAACACAAGGCAAATAGACACAGAAAGCTCGAAGAAAAGGAAGAGAAGAGCCCTGCAAAAGAAACCCCGAGAGACGCTCGACAGCCTACTAGACGACTGGAGGTGCTACGCAAAGAAAGTGAACGAGAAAGCTACGAAGCGATAACTATGGCAGCCAACGAGACAAAGATATCAGGCATCACCACCAACGCCCTCACTGGAGAACGTCATATACCAGCCTCAGTTCGTGCCGATGGCTCCCAGCGGCGTGAAATACGAATTAGGCCGGGTTACAGCCCGCCGGAGGATGTGGAACTGTATCGGAACCGTGCTGCTGCTTCGTGGAAGAACCGTGGCAAGACAGGCGTACCCGGAGCAGAACTAGCAGTTAGCGAGAACACTGCTTCATCGGCGAAGAATACAAAGAAAAAAGACACCAAACCAAAGACTAAAGCGAGCAGCGAGGGTATATCCCCGAAAACAGGAAAAGAGACGACGGCCCTTGACAAGGATAGCTGGAGGTCTACGGCCGGTAAAGACGCTGCTAGCGAGGTGAGGCAAAAGGAAGAGCCCGAAGCTGACCCTGCGATTGAACGGGAAAAGAAGGCCAGAAACTTGAAGAAGAAGCTCAAGCAGGCTCGTGAACTGCGAGACAAGAAAGACAAAGGCGAGAGTCTTCTGCCCGAGCAGCTAGAGAAGATTATCAGAATCAACGAGCTAGTTCGACAGCTGGAGTCCCTTGGATTTGAAACTGATGGCGAGAAGAAGGCCGACTCAACAGAACCGAAATGAATGACCGAGGGACAAAAGTTGCTACCGCAGCTTGGACCAGCTCTATTCGAATATGGCATGACTTTTTTATGATGGGATGAATATATTTTCACTCTTACATTATTACTATCTCGCCTACCACCGGTCAACATTTGATTACTTTCCATCAAGGAACTCAATGGATGCATAAACCCGAGTCTCTACCAGGCTTGGGAGGCAGGAGTTCTCCCGAACTCTGTTCCGGATGGAGAGATGTTAGGAGGACGATGTGGGTCAGAGAGATAGACCGGGGCGAACGAAGTCGCTCTGTTCAGGACAAGTCAGTGGTAAATACGCTTTGCAGCTTTTCAAAGGAGGCAAAGGAGAACATATGAGACACATGTCAAGGAAAAGATGTATTACAGGCAAACCAATTCACATTGGCTGTATTCTAGTTCCTTTCTAATATTCTGTATATCTATCCCTTGGTATAGATTATAGTATAAATAAAGAATCAAAAATGCCTAGAACCCAGGAGAGGAGAGGCTAATTGCCTATAGGACGGCAGCAAGCACTGGCTGTGTGGGATTCACGTAGTCCTCCAGCCCGGTCTCCTTAGTATTTCCAGCATGGAGAGCGGTGGCTATTGCTCGACCGGCAGTGATCCCGTCATTCACTCCCACACCCGTGTACCAAGCGCCAGCAACCTTGAGACGAGAGTCATAATCCCGGCATAAATCCTCATGTAAATCTTCCATCCGATCGCAATGTCCAACAGTGTATTGCGGTATTGCCTTGTACTGCAGTCGAGCTTTTGCGACGACCGGCTCATCAACAATCCCCAAATGGCGAGCGAGTACTGATTTTGCCATGGCGATGCCTGCCTGCTCGTCTGGCAGATCAGACTTGTTCCATCCATCCCACCAGTGGCCACCTATCATCACCGCCAACTTTGTTCCAACCGCGCTGTCCTGGCCACGAACTGCATGGCTGGCGAACATCACCCCCAGTGCTCGTTCTGGATTTTGTTCAAAAGGCACAGAGCGAGGTATCAAGTACCCAAACGCTTGTGTTGGAATGAGATCAGGGTTCTTGTAGAAGAGATTAACCACCATGACGCTCACAGCATAGTCATTTGCTGCTAACATCCTCGAAGTAGCAGTGGGGGGAGTTCGCCCCCCCGGCCCACGTAGCTGGTCTGCCAGTACCGTGGATGGAGTTGTCGAAATAACATAGTCATATCTCGCTGGTGGCTTGTTTATAGCCGAAGAGAGCTTAATCTGAATCAGTTATACAGTCCTAGACACATATACAAGTGTATATATACAAGGCAGCGAACTTACTATCATGGACGCCTTGGCTTTGTCATACTGAATATGAGTTACGGCGGCATTTCGCACAATCTCAACGTTAGGAAGCCTTGTCAGCTCCCGGGACAGAGCTGATACAAGGGAACGCATTCCACCCTCCAGGTATAAGATATAGCCTGGAGCGAAGATTAGACCCACTCGGATGTTGAATTCTGAAGAGTATTCACGTCTTATGGCTCTCAGTACCTGTATCCTGTTGTGTTTATAGTAAACAGGCTTTCGAGATAGGCCCCTGTTCATTAAGTTTATAATAATGCCAGGTCCAAACTCATCATCCCATAACTGGCGCATAGTAGCTTTCATGCTGAGTTTGTCGATATCACCGGCATAGACTCCATGGAGAAACGCGGAAGCAAGATTGTCAACAAGGGCTGGGCCAAATCTCCTGAGGAGAAAGCTTGCTACTGATTCATCGCGGGCCTTTGGGTCCCGACAATCCTTAAATGGCTCGCCTAACAGGCTTCTTAGCAAGCCCTTGTATGCTGGCTCTTGCACCATGTCCCGTAGGGTATCAAAGAAGGATACGCCGCCGCCGGGCCCGGGGAGCCGAACGAGGTGATCTGGGTAGTAGATATATCGGTTACTTAAAGCAGCGCTTTTGGTCCCTATCCTCATCGTCGAGTCGAGCATATTCAGTTTGATTAACTACACAGATTGTATCAGTGATTAAATTCTCATGGGCATACGAAGAAAGCAACACACACCAATTCAACTGTAGCCATCGCATCAGGAAGCCCACCCATCAGTGTCCGCGGGCCATAGTCCAAAACGACCTTGCCGGAATCTACGTCCACCGTGTCCGACTGCATCCATCCCCCCAATGTGTTGGACTTCTCGTACAGAACGACCTTCGTCGAACGCTGGCTGGCCAGGTGGAAGGCCGTCGTCAGCCCTGTGATCCCACCACCGATCACCGCAACCCGTTTATCTGGTCGCCTGGACGTGCTGGTCGACTGAAGCCGTAGCTGCCTCTGCCATTGTGGCAGAAGCAAGGCTCCCTTTCTTGCGCATTGCCAGCATGGGACGTTCGTTAGTGGCAGACGCAGGCAGCTCGCACTGACCGGACCAGGCCAGCGCCGCAAGGCCATCGTCCGTCAGTTTCTTTATTTCGTCGATTTCCTAGGTCCAATTGTTAGTCCAATCCCATGCTGCTGTTTGTCCGGTCGCTGTCACTGTCGTTGAGGCTGTCTTTCGTTCCTCGCGTGAGGTGGTTGAGTTGAAGCTCTCGATTTTAGTTATGCGTGCGTGACAAAGAGCGGGTGGCCGTTAGTTAGATAGCTAGTTAATATAATTGGTTAATTGGTTAACTAAGTTAACCAGCTATTTAATTTTGTTAATTCAACTAATTTGAACTGTCTACTTTGTACCTGGCGGGCGAAATCTGCAGAGCCGACAAGCATTTGGTTATTAGAAAGCAGAGAAAGGGCAGCTGGGAAAAGTATTTGATCCCAGGAAAGACGGTGGTTATATTACATGCTACTACCAAGAGTACAGCAAGAAAGAGGTGGAAGACCCGGATACAACGCCATATACATAATCTAGATGTTCAACAGTGGGTGGTGCGCCAGCCGAAAGGAAGTCGAGGCAGATATAGTAAAAAAGTCACCCTGATCCAACGCCGCTCATGCTCGGAAGATCGTAAGAAAGAGAAAGTAAAGGAATTCTTTTTAGCAGAGGAAAGGAAGCTGAAAGATATAGGGGCCGCGCCTGGCACTAAGGCTTCCGGGGATGTATTTGAGAAAACAACGTTTAGCGATTCAAATTGGTAGACATTCGGAGGAAACTGAGAAAGATCAGGTCATAAAGGGAGAGGGGAAGGCGGCTGCGGCGACCGATTAGGTGATGATTCCGGCATCATTCGAGGGAGTTGAGCCGGGCTTGATCAGCTCCTCTTCGCCAGCTTCGTCACTGATGAATTTTCTCTCGCTAACATGGGGCGTCTCCGGCTTTGCACCGTCGGCACGCCAGACCTTGTCGGTGAAAGCTCCGCGCTGGCCTTCAACATGCTTGTACGGGCAGGTTCGGTTCAGGCAAGGGTTGAATCTGCAAGGCGTTTGGAGATGCGTGAACTTGCAGTCCTCGGTCGAGCAGTCCGCCCCGTTCCTGCAGAGTGGCATATTTGGGTGTTTGAAGGTGCATTTAGGGTTTGTGCAGTGAGGAAAGTATCGACAAATCTCCTCTGCCTGGTGGACGGCCTTTTGAGCGGGGGATGGGTGTCGGGCAACGCATTTCCGGTTCTTGCACGCGGCTCCGTATGGGCAATTGTCACTCACATCCACGCTGGCTCCTTCAGGCGCCGCCGGGGATTGATGAGCGTACGGACAGTCCTTGTTCGTGCACCTAAGATTGAATCGGCAGACTGTGTCTGGACCAGGGGCTTCCCGTGCCGGCTGTTCTTCGGCCGGCTTACTTTCAGAACCGTCCATCTCGACATCGGCAGCTGTAGTCTGAGGAGACTGCTGGTTCCGTCGGCCGGGTTGGAACTCTGCGCGTTCGAATAGTGATCGGCCCTGTGCCTGTTGCGGAGGGCCATTCTGGAAGGCTGGGTTGATCGCAGGAGCGACGAATCCGGGTATGAGCTGAGACATCATCCGTGCCTGCTCCTCAAACATTGACATCATCTGCATCTGCTGTTGTGGGGTTATGTTCATCATGTTTTGTTGACCCATGTTCTGCATCTGGTTATGATTCATTCCCATCCCCATGTTCATTCCCATCCCCATCCCCATAGGCACATTGCTACCCATCTGCCTCCCCATTGAGGCCCTGTGGCCACCTCGACTGCCTCTGCCACCCCTGGAGTTATCTCGATGTGAATTTATCCTCTCGGTTCCTTGCTGGTTTCGAACTCGGTGAAGGACGGATTCGTTGGACCGGTCCATCGCACGACTAAGCTGACCAAGTATGCCTCTGCCTCGACCATTTTGCTTTTGATTCCGCGCATTCCGAGGGCCGGTTGGACTATATGATATTCCTTGTTAGTAGCCATATTCAAGACAGCAACGAGTACTAGTTGGGGCTTACACAGATGCATCAATTCCAGGGCCGACTCCATCATCCATAACCATATCCTGCTGCGGTACGGGCACATCTGTGGGCGTCGCATTCCCATTACCTCCGTTCGTTTCTTCTGAGAAAGAGGGTATCGCTTGTGGGAGTTGTTCCTGATGTGCCCTCTCCTTCGAGCCGCCATTTAACCGCCTGTCCAGCGTCTCGACTTGATCGAACAACCATTTTGAAAACTCTGCGGCCTCCGTATCCTCTGGTCCCAGGCTGAGCAGGTCGTTTGCTAGCTCCGCAGAAATCTGGTCCTGTGTCTTCCCGTTGACAAGCATCAGTATCACATACTCCGCGAGCGCCGAGTCGTCTCCGCCGCCGGTGCTCCAACCAAGCTCGACCAGCTTCGGCTGCACCACTTCGTTCAAAGCATCGGCCAGCGGCGTATTCAGCGCAACAGAGACACTCATGGCGACGGAGCTGTTTTCAAAGCTTTTTTGATGGAGGGCGTTTTCAGGTGGCAATCGTATATCTCGCGCAGTGTCGAGAAGCCGTCAACGCAAGTTGAAAAAAGGGTCGTATCCCGCAGTCCAGGATAGCTGTCTTCCTCGAATGTCACGGTTCAAGTGCTTTTTTCTTTCACCCCGACAAGACTTCCGTTGCTCTTCAACGTCA